GCACCGCACACGACGGGGTTCGCGGGGCCCGTTGCCCCCAACCCTCTCCCTAGTTGGTCCCTCAGCCGACATTTTTTGTCGACTGTCGTCCAGGAACCTTCCAGAGAGCGTATCTTTTCTCTCACCTAAGTTAACTCACCAGTTAGTATAATCACTTCCCCCGCAAGCTCCTCCAGTGCATCTATACAACTACATGGATTCATCACTACTAGGGCTACAGCTTACAACTCATTGACCAGAATGGACATTCATTTCAAGCCACGACCTTAATTATCGTCGTCGTTACACCAGATGAAGGTCGTCTGCTCGTCGTGGTTGTGCTACTGCGATGTATCGTTGTCGAAGTCTTAGTGCCACCAATTGCGGAAGAGGCCGTTGAGGAAATGAGTCCTGGGCTTCGCTGACTCGCAGACACGAAGGAGAGACTCGATGCACTCGTGCCACTGGTGGAGACATTGACCACACTTGAAGAGGAGGCTTGGTTTTGATTAGAACTACACGAATTTGTAGTAGGTGAGACTAGAAGTTGTAAGCGGAGGCTTTTTCGATAGAGACAATGCAGATGAAGGTTGACGCTACACAACAGAAGATCTCAGTACAGTTCCATCTGTTACACTTAGACAGTAGAAACTACTTAAAACGACAACAAGCATATGCCAATATGTATTCATTCCTTAGCATCCCTATTTATTAGTAGTGCTCCTAGTCTACCGGCAGCATAGTACTATAGCATGCGTGTAGTGCTCCTAGTATGTGAATATTATACATAGCAAGTCGCAGTGCTCCTAGAATGTGCATATTATAGCAAGCACGATCCTCGATCATAATGGCAAGTGTATTTCCTCCACCGGATATATTCAGCATGCTGGATGCAGTTCCTATGCCACTATCATCCAGCGACTTGAAGGACTGCGCAGACTGCTGTAGTTGATCTGCACCAGAGGACACGGAGGCGTAATTGTTTGACGTGGTAGCTGTTGTGGCAGATGGTGCTGCTGTGCTGTTGGGTTATTAGAAGATCATTAGGACGAGTCCCAGTCGTGACTTCTGCGAAATAGACGATATTTCAACCTTACAACACCTTGTTGCCCCTGAGCTTTCAGTCTCCTTCAATCCATTTTCCAGCTCCTCTACAACTAGTCGTACATGCACTGTAAGTAGTGCTACAAGAACATACGAAAACTCGCCTCAACTACATCATCTGCTTCATCACTACCACTGACTACATACAACGAACATAAGAAGTATTCCTCCTCTGACTCGCTGAAGAACCGGGAAGTGTTGTCACTGTAGACGTTGCACTAGTCCGTGATATGCGTCCCCCAACGACCGTTGCTGTACTACTGCGTCTTTGATGTGGGGAACCTACTGCATCACCGGCACTCCGAAGCGGACTAGAGGAAGACCCTTTTATTGATGATAGTAAAAAGAGGGGCTGTTGATGTTCAGAAGGTGCAAGAAGATTGTTTGTTTTTACGCTCAGCTTCTACTTCAGCAGCATTTGTTTAACTCCTGACTTTACTGACAAGATTCAAAGAAGAAAAAAACTTCAACAACCTGCCAACAGGTACAAGGTCTAGAATATTAATATTACCAAGTATCCTCGACGTCGCTGTGGAGGTACCAAATGCGCCTCTTGACGGTGGCGCTCCCCTTGCTGTTGCCGGTCCCGTATCTTGATCCAATTTTTGTACTCCTACTGGTACATCCTGTTCTTCTGTAATGAGTTCGACTCTGGTGAGAAGAGCGCTTTTCTTGCACTTTAGATCTACGTGAAGTCCGTCGGACTTGACAGCTAGAATCTCATCCTTCATTTTTTCACCGTGCGTCTTGCTATGGTAGTAGACTGGATCGCCGATTTTCAGCCCAGCAGCATTCGTGGACAAGCTCAAGCATATTAGAGTGTGGTGGTTGAAAATTATTAAGCTAGTGATAAGCATATTAGAGTGTGGTGGTTGAAAATGATTAAATTAGGGATACAGTTTCGATTTCGTGCCTTGATTCTACTACTGCGTATCTTTACTTGGATATCAACCAAACAAAGTCAATCTGTCTAGTTGTTGGCGCATGTGAAATGTTGTGAATTTCTAGAGCCTTTGCCTTAAAAATGGCTCCTGTGCCGATGAAAGCGCTGCTCCTCCAGCTTTGTGGAATTAGAAGATCACGCTCTTTTTCAAATTCGAAGCCTATCTCGATCAAAGTACTACCGAACTTACCTTCTTCCAGCAGCGTTCTCAATTCAACTTCATCTCGTTGGAGTGAATCTATCTCATAATCGTTCAAATTTCTTGTAGGCGAGGGCGCCGTTGAAGCGTCTGTTGGCGTTGGCACAGGGCGGATCTGGGTAGTCGGCGGGGGCGCGGCTGGTGTTTCTGCAGGAACCTCCACGCTCGTTGGGCCGATGGTGGTAGCCAAAGGAGACCAGGGTGAAGAGGCTGCTGTGTAATGTTTGGGAATCAACATGATGCTGATGAAGATGGTCACGCTATATTTGCAAAGGTTGTTGATGAAGATAGAACTACACTTAATGACCTGGTTGCCAGTTGATTCATTCTACTCTTAGTACTTCTACTTCTAGTGCTCAAATAAATACCTGCTGGAGTTGGCTTTCGTGGCTCCAGGTCGTCGCCCGGCTCCCCCTCAAATCGTCGGACGTTCTCAGGCTTTGCTTTTGGCTTGACATCCAAGGTGTAGGCTATCTGTGCAGTGGTGCGAATGCATGGTAGTTGTCTCGTCAACGAGTCATTCCTGAGCTACAAGTTGTAGCGTCTTTGTTCTTATTTTCCAACAAACGTACAACTTCTACAACTGTCACGGATGAGTAATATCATGTAAGCTGTACCACAACAGACTACCACACAAGCAAGCAATATGTACCACTTTATGACTGGAATCGCGAATGCGTTCTTGGATAGCTGCGCGCATCCACGTGTTATACGTTTTCGAGTAGTATTCGCACTCATTATCATCCTCACGTGGTTGCTTGTGTATCTTTATCTTACTACCTGCGACGTTGTACTTCATCTTAGAAGGAAGGGTGGGGTTCGGGGCTGAACAAGTTGACCTCTATATTCGATAAACTGACTTAAGCAAGAACGAACTACAGACAAGAATATCTATATCAACCGAGATCATACTGAAAGAGGAAGAGTAGCCTTGTGAAAGCTACGCCCCTTATTTCAGTCAGTAACTCGTCGATTATTTCTATTTTTCGCATATGTCCTTGATAGTGCCAAAATCTATGCCTTAACAACAGTACGAGCAGTGACATTGCCAGCGCCACTACTTGGGCTTGGCTGCGGCACCATTTGTGCTGCGAAGCTGGTGGGACCAGGGGTTACGGTTGTTCAAGATGGCGCATTGAGGTAGTTCTTTTTAGGGTAGATGATGTCCTGATCCTGAACCACGCATGTGCGTGAAAAAGTAGTACTAGTAGTAGACGTGGTAGATCTAGATTTCCTTATGGTTGTTCTACGAGAGGAGGAGGATCTCTAGTACGCAACATGAAGATTTAGTTCTTTATTTGGTAGAAGAAGTTCTCCTGGTCCTCATGGTGGTTCTCCTCTTCGTCAATGTCCTCGCACAAGACAGATCACGTGGTCTCTGAACATCAAGTAGGAACACAACAGGCCCACCACGTCGTCGCTGAAGTGATGGCGCTCGTCCAGGTCCTAGTTCTCGTACAAAAGTTATACGTCGTCAGAGGTCGCTGTTAGTTTACGTAGTCGTGAGGGCAAACAACGTCGCCCTAGAGCGGTCACGGTGTTCTTTCCTAATGTCCGACTTGGGTTCTTCTCTCCATCATATTCTGTTGAGGACTGGTACAATAATGCGGGCGCTAGGCGGGATGTTGATGCTCTTCAAGTTCAAGCCCTTCTATAGAAGATCGTTCTCCCTCTACAAGATGAGAAATTCTCTGAGCCGACGACTTTCATCAGGCATCATCGGTAACAGGAGCATCTTCTCGTCCTCTCAGGAGGACTTTGAAAGACCACCACGTCACGAGGCTGAGGTAGAAGTAGAAGTTCTATCTTAGTTCTACAAGAAAATGAAAAAGAATGTTGAGGTGCCTTTGGTTTTGCTTCTTATATGTACTATTCACGTCCTGACTGGTCCCATTCCGGTTCCCGCAATGTTTTTCGTGATCTTGCGACCTCTTTTTTTTTGATCATGAGCAACTTTGCACTTCCTCTGTTAGTAGTCTCCGTCTGACAACGTAGTGTATCTAAGATAGAGCTAGAAGCTAGTACCGATTGTACTACACAACTCAGCTAAAGCACGCCAAGGAAGTCACAGATTTCATCTTGCACTTGTAGTTCTGCGTAATCGTCTCCGCACTTCGTCGTTTTCGTCGACGTAGTGAGAGTTGTGATGATCTCGTAATCTCCGCTGCACTACAAGTTCCCCTGCCACATTGGTTCGCTATCTAGAACAAGAATCGCAAAAGACTCGGAGTTGTTCGAAAAAGGTCATTCTTCTTCTTTCTTATGACCACAACCATAGCAGGAATAGGAAAAGCTATATACTTGTACTTGATGTACTTGTACTGGACCTGGACGTCGCACAACTAGAACTACTACGTTGTACAGCCTACTTTTACAAGTGGTACTTTTTCGTCCACTTAAATTGTTATCACAAGGAATCCAAAGCCAAACTCTTGCTGATCATGTTTACATTCCACATCCTACTGGAAATCGTCCTCTACTTGTGAGATTGCGGACTACAACCACCCAAAACATCTGCTTTTCCAGTACGGACACAGAGTTGTTCATTGTTCGCCTTGTCAGCATCAGAGTAGCGTTTTGACAAACATCATTTTGTCTTTCTCTTCGTTCATCTAATATTATTGGTGCTTAAATCTAGTTTTGCTGTAGTTGATGTTGACGAGTATCAGTATAGCTTCAATCATGACAGGCTTCAAGACTTTGTAAATTCTTCAATTACCATGCTTACAACAAATGTTGGTCGGGTCAGTGCCTGCCTTGAACGTATCATCGGTCCATCGTAGTTTGGAGCCTTTGCAATTTCTGCTTTCTGGTTTCACGTCCATGCACAAATAACGACCTTGCGCATCTTGCTTCGCATCCGCCATCATCTGGGTTGTTTCGTTCATTCAGAATCAAGCTTTTCGTTCTGTTCCATCTAAATTACCGCCCACGCGCCCCCGGCGTGTACACACGCCGGGGCAAGGCGGAAAAGTCTCGCAAATTCTACGAGCTATATTATAGATCTACGGCCGACCGGCGCGCTCCGAATTACGTGAAGAAAGAGTAGCGGGGCACGGCATAAGGAACTCAGCCACATGCCAGAAGCTGCTACGTTTTACACAAGCGGGAGCACTGGCAAAGTGCCACGCTTTAGCCTTTGAACCGGTTTTAGACCGCTGCCCAAGTTGCAAAGCCTTACCGTGAACCAACTCGGGCCCCCTACCCAAATTAATAACGCCACCCCAGGAGACTGCTGCCCGCTGCTTCTGAGCTGCTTAAAAGGTTCTAGTCTACCCTTTGGCAATCAAGCTGACCCGTGTCCCTATCCAAATTAATGGCGCAGCTTCGTGAGATTGCTGCCACTTTTGACCCGCTTGGAAGGCCCGACCTTTTGGGGAGCTGACTCAGGTCCCCCACCCAAACGGCGCCGCGCTTTTTATGAGTTTGCTGCCCACTTTTGGCCCGCTTTGATGGCCTTACGCTTACCCTTTGAGGCGGTTCAGATCTCCTACCCAAATTAATGGCACCGCTTTGCGAAGTTTGTCTCTGCCTACCTTTGAGCAGCTGGGAAGGGCTTCCCCTTTGGGCTGACCTGACTCAGAGTGAGCCTGCCACCTACCCAAAAAATGGGCAAGCTCGGGGGGTCCCTGCCTGCTTTTCTTTGAGCTGCTTGCGGGGCCTTGCCCTTTGGGCTGCCTCTGGTCTCCTATGTGTCCCAGCTGTGTAGCTTTATGGGGTCGCTTCTAACTTTTGACCTGTTTGGAAGGTCTTACTCTTTGATCTGACGCAGATCGCCTACCCAAATGGCACACCCCTGGCGAGTTTCTGGCCACATTTGGCCCACCTGGATGGCCCAGCCCCTTCGGGTGGCTTAGTTAGATCCCTTAACCAAGAGAGTAGCTCTATGGGGCTGCTGTCTACTTTTGGCCTGCTTGGAAGGTCTTACCCTTTGAGCTGACTCAGGTCACCTATCCAAATGGCGCAACCCTATGAGGCTGCTGCCTGCTTTTGACCTGCTAGCCCGAAAGGCTCTGCCCTTTGAGCTGGCTCAAGTCTCACCCCCTACCCAAATGGCGCAACTTGATGCGGCTCCTTTTCTTCACATTTGAACCGCTTGGAAGGTCTTACCATTTGGGAGGCTAGCAAGCTCAGCCCTCCGGTGGCCGATGATCCAAATGGCGCAACTTCCGGAGATTGCTGCCCATTTTTGGCCCGCTTGGAAGGCTTTGCGCTTTGAGCTGGCTCAGATCTCCCACCCAAATGGCGCAGCTTTACGCAGTTGATGCCCACGCCCGACCCGTCTCGTTTGGAAAGCCTTTGACAGAGCTGGAGCATGTGTTTCTCCTCTCCAGATGGCACACGCGAAGCAGTTACGTGCCACACGCGGGCGCGCTCTACAACACACAGATACACACCAGACGCACGGACCCGGCAAGCGTGTGACGCTTGGCAACGCAATCAGGCCACGCTTAGCAAGTAAGCCACACCGAGGCCGAGCAAACAAGCTGCGCCAAGCAAGCAAGAGCAAGACGCGCCTAGCAAGCGGGCTAAGCTTAGCGCGCGCGCTATGCTTAAGCTAAGGCGCGAGCAATGCTCAGCGCAAAAGCCACGCCCCGCGCGCAGGCTGAGCGCATAGCAGAAAAGCTATAGCCATTAGCGCGCAGGCTATACTAAGTGAGCAGCCTACTCCGCTCAGGCGCGTTATGCTCAGCTGCAAGCACGCCATGCCCCGCAAGCAGACTCAAGCACACCCAGCAAGCCAGCCACGCCGAGCTTTGCGACCCCAAAAGCCCACAAGCCCACCCCAAAAGCCCACAAAGATCCCGCCCGAAAGCGTAGCGCCTTGCCCTTGCTTGGTCAGTCTGAGGGCTTTGCTCATTTGAAGGCGCGCGCTTTGATAGATATGAGGCGCCCTGCCTGCTTCTTGTTCGCTGGAGGCTGTCTCTTGAAACAAAGAAACACACCCGCGAGCCTTTTGGCTCCCAACTGAGTCAGAGTACTGTCGCCGGTTAGATTTACATAGTTATATATTGACACGGTGAGAAAGACCAAGACGGCACAACTAAAGTGAGCGCACATGCTCAGACTCAGAACGAGCGAGCCGCCCGCCTTTACCTTGATGGCCAGAGCAAGCTGCCAAGCCTGTGGTTAGAAGCTGGCGGATGCATTGCGCAACATGGGCGCCCACAATGGGGCGGCTGACTCATCGCGAGAGCGGTAGATGGCGCACATTATTGCCATCGACAGAGTAGGCGCGCGCGCTGGAGTGTCAAGTAAGGGCGAGGCATTGGCTGAAGCTGCGGCTGGGGTGCCGGCATTATTTGCAGCAAAGGCCGGCCAGTCTTGCTCGCTTGTTTGCTTGTTGGCTCGTTAGAATCAGACACCAAGCTGCTACGTCTGTTACCTGCACAGCCCTCGATGGGTCCAAGGTCAGGAGCGACGCTGCGGCCACCAGGCGGCGTCCGGGGCCTGGGTGTCGAGGTCCCACACCCAGCGACCCCCGCCACCTACTGGGGCGCGGCCGGGGTCCAAGCGTAAGGCGGACCGAACGCCGTAGAGCTGTCCAAATGAGTCCCACCGCATACTTCCCCCTATTATAAGGGCGGCTCCTGTCGCTCTCCTTGATCTTGATGCGGAGCGATCGAAGATCCACGGATCTAGCAAAGATCCACAGATCCATCAAGGACTCAGTCACGGATCTATCAAGGATCCACGGATCTATCAAAGAAAGATCCGCGGAGCGATCGAAGGTCCACGGATCTATCTCGGAAAGATCAGCGGAGCGACCGAAGCTCCCCGGATCTATCAAGGATCCACCGATCTATCAAGGATCCACGGATCTACCAAGGATCCACGGAGACGGATCCCTCAAGGATCCGCGGATCTATCAAGAGTCCACGGATCTATCAAGGATCCGCGGATCTATCAAGGATCCACGGATCTATCAAGGATCCACGGATCTATCAAGCAAGACCCACGGATCTATCAAGGACCCACGGATCTATCAAGGATCCGCTGATCTATCAAGGATCCGCGGACCTATCAAGGGTCCGCGGATCTATCAAAGAAAGATGCGCGGAGTGATCGAAGACGAGATCCACGGATCTATCAAGGATCCACAGACCTATCAAGGACCCACGGATCTATCAAGGATCCACGGATCTACCGAAGAATAGAAAGATCCGCGGAGCGATCGAAGATCCGCGGATCTATCAAGGATCCACCGATCTATCGAGGGTCCCCGGATCTATCGAGGATCCGCGGATCTATCAAGGACCCACAGGCCTCATATAAGTTAGCGAGAATCTAGATTCATCAAAATCAAGCACCTCCTACCCGTTGCTGCGTGCTGCGTGACGCTTGAAATTGAAGGCAGGCACTTCATCCCCCCCGAAGCTCTGGGCGTGACGCGGTGGGCGTCACGCGTCGCGAAACAGCTCTACGGCGTTCAATAAGTCCCCAGCACCGGGGCAAGGGTGACGCCGGTGCAAGGGGTAGGCGCCTGGCTCGCTGCGGGCTCCGAAGTCGGGGCGATGTGTGTGCCGTGCTTGTCTTTGTTCCATTCTTCAAGTAGAGCGCAGAGATGTCTCGTGGGAGTGAAGGGTGGGCAATGGGGTGGGGAGGGTGGTGTGGAATGAGGTGAGAAACGAGGCGAGAAACGAGGCGGGAAACGAGGCGGGAAACGAGGCGGGAAACGAGGTGGGAAACGAGGCGAGAAACGAGGCAAGAAACGAGGCAAGAAACGGGGTGGGCAATGGGGTGGGGAATGGGATGGGAAATGGGGTAAGGAGTGGCTCTCTCAGGGAGTAAGTTGGGAAGTGAGGCGCCGGGAAATGGGGTGGGAAATGGGGCAGCCAATGGGGCAGAAAACTATCCAGCCGCCCTTTTTCTCCGGTCCAGGCCGCGGTCGTTTTGTACTGCCTTGCCCTCGATTTTCACCGTGCATCCACTTTTTTCCCTCCCCCTTTCCTTGTCGGTCGCCCTTTGTGTGTTTTTAGTGCTGATTTTTTTGCCAAAAAGTGAAAAACTTCCGAGCACTTCGGCTGACAGGTGGGAAATCAGGTGGGAAACCCCACCCGATTTCCCAGCTGAAAGCCATCCCCTTCGACTTTCTTCTTGGAAAATAGTCGAAAAAGGTGCCCCCAGCTAATTCCTTTCCCCACCTGGTTCCCCACCTCATTTCCCGCCCGGTTTCCCACCTCATTCCAGAACCAGACTCAAATCAGACGGAAAAAAATGACCGCGGGGCGAAAATATATCTGGACGGAAAAAGGTGACTCACTGGAGGGAAACAGAGGGGCGCGGATTCGTTTCTCACCTCATTACGCAGCAAGCTCATACATTTCCCGCCCTGTTTCCCACCTGATTTCCCCCCTCATTTCCCAGCCCATTCCCTCCCTCATTCCCCGCCCCAGCCCATTTCTACCCACAACGAATCCGCACCGGCCTCGCCGAAGTTTTTCATGTGAGTCGCTACCGCCTGCGGACTAAGTATGAGCGACGGAGTTGGCTGGGAGTGCTTGCACCCTCTCACACACCACCGGCGGCCAGCTTGCTCGCTCTGCCTTGTGTTACATATGACCACTGCCAGCACGTCTGTAGTTTCGCTATCGATCCAAGAGACCCCGCGGCGGCTGCCTTGGTTGTTGCAGCTCACCGAGCGCCTTCGGAGTAGCTGCACCGCGTCGGAAGATTCAAAGGCCCGCCCACTTCTGTAACCTCATGCGCAAAGGCAATTTGCTGCTCCATCTTCTCAGCCGAGGGCGGCGCGCCTTCCTTGTGCGCGGTTGGCGCGTGGTTGCGTCTTGTCCTCGAGTTAAGTCACGGGCCTACCGTGGGCGGCCTGTGTGTGTCGCGCTGGCTGTCTGCCTCGTGTTTGGCTCGTGCTTTTCCGGGTGAAGCTCATGAAGATGAACGAGGTGCGTGCACCATTCCACAGCCCAACAGATGGCCCCCACCCCCTGAGGGCCGTAGTCTACTGCCGACGCTGGTTAGCTCCGTGACACCCCCTGCAGCTGCCGGGCTCTCTTCTTGTCTTCCGGTGGCAGATTGGGCCAAGCGAAGCTGTGCCACTCCATCGCCTTCCCCTCGCCGAGTAAGAGTAACGAGGAGGAAGACCAGCCCCAAGCAGGTGAAAAGAGTCCGCGAGCACGCAGGTTGGTTCCCGCTGCTGGGTCTCTTGCCGTTTAAGTTCGTGCGCAGCTGGTTGATGTCGGCTAACCGCGCTGCTCTTCACCGAGCAACAAATACCAGAGCGCTGAGCGATCGACCACACTAGTTGGAGACCACCGCGCCCGACAATCACCGGTGGCGGAAAATCTTGGCGAAAAGTTGCCGAGGCTCACGCGCGCGGCCCTTGTCCTTGTCTCATTAAAACGAAGCCAAGAGGAGCTCCGAAAACGAAACCGACACAACCCACACACAGACAAGCCAACCACTGCGCCGAGAGCATCACAAGCCGGCGAACCAGTCCGCGGCGTAGCCTCGCGCCAAATTCTCAAACGAATGCACAACGCCAGAGGCCTGCCAAGCCTGGAGAGAAGAACAGAGAAACCACAAAAACCACAGACAACAAGCGCGGAGCCCCATGCGGTTTCGTTGCAAGCTGTTGCGAGTTTGTTCTCGGCGACTTATTTCCATGTCTTCATCAAAAAAACATGGAAGACGAAAGCTTCAAAATCTTCGCGGAATGTTTGCGGAAAGTTTGCAAGTTTTGACAATGTTGGAACTTCATGCGCTTATCTTTTCGGAAAGATTCCGCAAAGATTCTTTTGAAAGATTTCGCAAACTTTTCGCGAAGATTTTTTTTTTTTCATATAGAGAAAAAAACGAAGCGCCAACCCAGGCGCCCAAGCGCAGAAAGATGGCCAACGCCGCCCCGCTTTGCCACTGCTTCCCCGCCTGCGTTTCCCCCGTCCTCCGCCCGGGTTCTCTACACCTCGAGGAGCTTGCACAGGCGTGCCGCGGCTGTATTCCAAGCAGCGCCGACGCCAATGACGTGCGGGCGGTCCGCACTCAACTGGCGCCGGGGCTGTCAACAACAGAGGAACACAACACAAAGACAAAGCACCCGAGGCCGCGCCGCCTCCTTTTCCATACTCAAAAAGACAGAGGCAACGAAGACCAACCCGGGCAACTTTTCGCGAAGATCTCGCGGCCATGTTTCGCATCGACGCGGTGGTCTCCAACACTAGGCCCAAGGAGTTGGGCCAGGTGTAATCATTTTGGGTAGTAAAACAAAGCCTACGCTGGTTCATTCAGTTCACCCTGTGCCTGTTTTGAAGGTTTCGAAAACTGTCCGACAAGATTAGTACCCTAGTCGATGAATTCGATGGCGCTCCGTCATCAGTCTGGGGTCTCTCGTTCGTTGTGTCTCGTCATGTCCGACCTCAGCTTTTGCTTTCTCTTGCTTTCTTTCACTTTCCTCAAAACAGAAGAAAGCGACAAAATGTCTCCAGATATCTAAATCTATACCGCGGCGCCCCTTTACTTTTCTGCTCTTCTTGACGGCTTCAAAGCGTAGACACTTCCCTCACAGAAGATCACTCGCACTGGTTCCGCTTCCGTTTTCGTGTGGTTGTGCGTGGTGTGTTCGTTGGTGCATGGTTGTCGCACGCTGCTCCGCCCTGCTCTCATGTGTCTTTTTCTGGTGTGTTCATCCCTTGACCCTTTTCATTCACCCGGCGAAATTAGCAAGAAAAAAAACCAGAAGAATCTGGCGCGGCGTGGCCTGTGGTGGGATCTTGCTGGGCTGCCCTTGTGGTGGTTGGGTTTATTTTGCAACGAGCGTGCGAACTACGTGGAGCAGGCGGGCCAAGCCTTGCGAGCAGGCTGCTCTCAGCAAGCCGCTTACATTATGCCTGGCGGGCAGACTATCCTATGACCAACGAAGCACAGCAAGCAGGATGGGGCTAGGCTTAGCAAGCAAGCCATGCCCAGCAGGCGAGCAAGCTAAGCCAGGCGGGCAAGCTATGCGGCGCAGGCACTGCCCAAACACAGCGCGCACTTCCAAAATGCTTAGCAGGAGCAAGATCATGCAAAAGACGCACGGAAAGCGAAGGACAGGAGCTCTAAACTTTACGGCGTGAGGTGTATACATCTAGCCCGCACGCCTTTCCCTTGATTTCCGTATGTCTCAAAGTATGGAACTTCGCAGACACACCCATTACGAATCAGCCCGGTGTCATCTCGTGCGAGTGCGCTGCGTTTTGAGAGTACACCTTTCCCGGTCTCAAGTGTATACATCTAGCCCACACCTTTTTGCCGTGATTTGCGTACATCTAAAATAGCCATAGAGCTGCTTCTCTTGAGGTCTCAGGTTTCGTCTCGCTTTATATATAGAATGACTGACTACAAAGGTGCCAGATCCGGGATGGGGTGGATCGGATGGAACGGATGGACTTCCCAATATTTCGAGTAAGGTCGGAAGAATCAGGGGGGCCCATCCGATCCACCCGATCCATCCAAGTCCATCCTACGTCCGTTCTATAAACTACTCTATATATGTACCAAGGAGGAAGCCCCCCCCCTTAAGATCGAAAAAGGGACCCCCTGGGCCTTACGGGGAAACTGGTTGGGAGATGATCTGGGGCCAAGCGATCGCCAGGTGGGTCCTGCTCCTGCTGGGGTATGATGATGATGATGATGCAAGCCCACCGATCGGGTGGAGCGGGATGCCATCTCGTCCCTGCTGAGGCCTCCCGCTGGGGCCTCGTGCTGGGGCCTCCTGTGGTTCCTGTGGTTCTTGTGGTTCCTGTCGTGGTTCCTGTGGTGCTAACAACTACTAACAACTGCTAAAAGCTGCTAACTACTACTAACAGCTACTGACTATCTGCCGCATTTTCTGCCACCCGGGAACACTTTCCGCCCCCATCTGTGACTTTCTGCCACCCGGGAACATTTTCCGCCCCCCTCTGTGACTTTCTGCCGCGTTTTCTGCCTACCCGGGAACACTTTCAACCCCCCTCCGTGACTTTCTGCCACCCGGGAACACTTTCCGCCCCCCCTGGACTTTCTGCCGCATTTTCTGGCAATCGGGAACATCCTCCGCCCCCCTCTTGGACTTTCTGCCGCATTTTCTGCCACCAGGAACATTTTCCCCGCCCCTTCCTCTTGGACTTTTTGCCGGGCTCTGTGAATTTCTGCCGAACTTTTCCCCCTCGCCGTCTAGGCCCCTCGCTGTTAAGAAGTCACGGTCGCAGCTCCCTGAAGATCCTCCATGTCCATCCCTCAAGTTTGAAAGGCCTCGAAGACCGCCGGCGCAAGTGGTTCGAAAGGAGATTGCAGACCGATTTCGTTTCGTTGGTTCCTTGTGCGTGTTTGTTTCAGTTCTTGAGTAAATTTTTCCCGATTCTCAGCCTTCCTGAGGCTGCAAATGGGTACCAATTTGCAATCTCAGCCCGACAGTCCAACAAAGGAGCTGAGGCCTTTTTTTACATTGGTCCGCACTAGGTTCCGCAAATAATTCCCGTCGCTTCTTTTCTTCTTTCATTGCGAGCCACTTGGCTCCAGATTCACTCAAGGCATTTCCTCGGCTGACAAGATTTGAGGCGCCTGATTGGCCCTCTCTTCTATGTCTTTCCTTGGAAGCGAGACTCGAAACAAGAAAACAAACAAAACCCCTGCAAAATCCCCCCCACTAACGTCAGCTCGGGGATGTGGGTTCTTTTTCCGTTGGTAGAAATTTTCAGCCCGGGAAGCTGCGGCAGTCTTTCTCTCATTCTCTCGGACTTCCTGCTAAATTTTCTGCCCGGGGAACATTTTCCGCGTCCCTCTCTCGGACTTTTCCGCGTCCCTCTCTCGGCCTTTCTGTTCCCCCCTACAGCTCAGGTAACAGACTAGAGAAGCCGCCGGAGCTTGAACACACAAAAGAGAGCCAGACCGCAGTAGAATCCACCGACGCCGGCACAGTTCCAATCCGAGAACTCGACTGGTTTCCCCGTAAAGCCCAGGGGGTCCCTTTCTCGACCCCACCCCCCCTGTGGATGGATCTTGGGCGGACCACGCCAGAGGGGTCCAGCCTTGCCACCTTTGCCAGGTCGGTCGAGGGGCTGCCGGGCGGGAAGGCCTCAAAGCGCCCACTTCTGACCCCTCCCCGCTTCTTGCGCGTACCCTACTGACCTGGCAAAGGTGGCAATGGCTGGGCCCTCTTGTCGTGTTGCGTGTGCCCGACAGAGCTGGCAGAGGAGGCAAGGCGGGGCCCACCCCCTTGGCGTAGGGTTGGGCGCATGCAACTCGCCAGAGGGGTCCACCCTTGCCACCTTTGCCAGGTCTGTAGTGTTGGGCACATGCAACACGCCAGAGGGGTCCACCCTTGCCACCTTTGCCAGCTCTGTCGGGTACATGCAACACGAAGGGACGGACGGGAAGTCTAAGACTTACTACGGCTACAAAACTAACCGGCTCCATCTAAATTATAAGAGAAAGATGCAAGGAGTGGCTAGACTGTAAGCATTCCATCTACACAAGTAGCTTATTGAGCAAAGAACAAGTTGTATCTAGGTTTAGACGCTAGTACCATGTCCATGGTGTTAGTGTCACGCGTCGCCATCGGTCTCGCATCGTTGTTCTTACGAATGGTTTCTTTTAGTTCATCAAAAGGCCGCCAGACATGATGTTAGAAAAGTACTCTATTCAACATCATTTGTTCTGGCTGAGTGCTCTTTATTTCCCTGAGTGTTCGCTGTGCCTCTCTACTAGTAGCAGCGCCTCGTCTACTAGTTGTCGTGGTCCACTGAGGAGAAAGCGAGGCCACGTCGAAATGTTGAGTGCTACATTAGTGGTGCCCTTAATTTGTGGCCCATTCCTCTGCGTCGCTTGCTGATAGTCCTGTCTCTGGTTGCGGCAATGTCTGTAGTTTCTGCAACAACCCGTAAGCGCGTTGCACCTGGCTTCGATTTGCTAAAATTGTTAGAGGCTCTTTTCTTGCACGTCATAATTCCCCTGCGCATGATATATATGATCGCTAGTCCTTCTTGTTCTTGGCGTTTTATTTTCCCCTTGGGAAAACAGAAACACGAACGAGCATGCTGAGTAGATTTACGGCGGCGTCAGCACGGATGGCGCTGGCGCACCATATATTTAGTCTATAAATAAGAGCCGTAACGGTTCTCCATTCACATACGCTCCTGCAACAGCGAGCAAATCCACTCCACGGTCCGAGGGTTCTCGCAAGATGGCTGCGATGTCGCCTCTATCCCAGGTGCCTCGTTCTTTTCCCTCGGAGCTGATGCGCGTCAACCACATCCAAGCTTCACTCGCTGAATGTTGTTTGAGCCTCTCAAGGCCAGGTCCTTGCACTGGGACTGACTGGACTTCCTGCTTCCTGGCAGCATTCGGTTTCGGCTGCAACACCTGAGGCGACTTAGTGTTCATTGACTTCCCTTCGTCCAGCACAGCTCGTGCTCGGAGTGGGGGAAATAATAAGGAGGGAACTAGACTGATGTACGTCGTTTAGCGTAGTTACCCCCGCACTAGAACTTTTAACTAAAAACGAGGTGAATGGGGAAAATAATTCGTCACGAATTCTTCTACGTATCAATCATATAGTCTATGCAAGTAGTGCGTACCTGTAGCACTACTATTTATTACGCTAGCGGCACTAGCAAGCGTCTTGCGCGAAAATAACAAGAAGATACACAGGTCGGACCCGGTTCTATTTATTTCGAATTACCTTCAATATTCTGTCCTTAGGAGTGGATACCCACGTGGGGCCGATAAATGGGAAAAGCTGCGAAGCCTTTGGGACTTTCTAGTCATATGAAGAGAGGCCGCAGAGACATTCCAAAACTTTGCAGCACAGAGCCTATCAATCTGAAGCACCTCCCCCCGGACACATCTCGCGGACACAGAAACGGGGCAGCGCCTGAGCGAGGGCAAAACACTACGAAGAAACAACGAAAAAGCAGCCCAAACCTGTACCGCGGTCGGGGTGGCTTGGGGATTTTCTGGAGATTTTCCGGGATTTTATAGCCATACGAAGCGAGGGGCTTCGCCCTTTTTTGAACTCGCGCAGCGTCTGCGCCAGACCCCCAGGAACCTCTTGGAGGAGATTCACATATGAAGAACCAGACACAAAAGGCAACGAGCCAGAAGATGAAGACAGAAAGAGAAAACGCCGCCAGAACTTCCCCAAGCTCTTCGCATTTTCTTCCTCCTTGAAGCCCTGCCTTCCGCAAAATAAAAGAGCAGAAAACAAAGCGGCAAGAATCTGCTGCATTTTTGCGCGCCAAAAACCACGCCGCTCCTGGTGGATATCTATCAAAAAGGTGAACCAGTTAGACCCAAGCTTTTCTCGTTGCGCAGCTGCCTAGTTGTTTTTTTAATTTGGCCAGCCTGAGGAGGGCCCGACCCCTCAGGACCGACGCCGCCACTCCGCTGGCTTTGCAGTGGACCCACGGAGCGGGGCTCCCTCCCTGGGCGGGCGAAGCATGGACGCGGCAGGCGTCTCCAGAACGAAGGGCCGCCGCCCTTCGGGCGACGCTTTGATCATTCAGAGACGCTTGGGAGGGGTGTCAAAAAGGGGAACAAAAAGGGCCCACTTTGACATCCCAAACGAAGCGGGTCACTTGGCGACACTTTTGCGCCTTAGAGCACCCCTCAAGCCCCACTAGGTGGGGCCGCTTCAGCCCCCGTAAAACGCGTCAGCATTTTCTTTCGAAAAATGAGGAAAATGCGCCGCATATTTGTCACCACTTTTTTGACCAAAAAGCGCCGCAGGAGCCCCTTGCCTGGATCAGACCCATGCTCCCGGTGCTGTCTCCATGCGCGGCAGTCCGGGTGGCCTTGGTGTCTGCCTCGCTCTATGCGGATGTCGACGGCCCCGCCGGCGCACAGTCATGCGGTGGCCGGGGTCTATGGGAGTGCGCCAGGCCTTCTCAATAGCTGCACAACTAAAAAAAAAAGGCTAAAACCGTGCAACGAGAAAACCCCTGGCCTATCCCTGCCTCCCTCCTCTGAGAGGAGGAGAAAAAAGTGGGGAAAGTTTGGGGATTTTTTCAAGGTTCTGGAGTTGGTCCTGCCTTGCGTGTGTGCTACTTACGCAGAAGGCGCACCCGCATGGGCCTGGCCGCTCCTGCGTTCGTATATGCTACAGAAAGGGGAAGCCTGCGGCGGCATGGCATGCGCAGCCTGGCTGCCCTGGCTCTTGCAGTGCATGCATGCCATACAGAGAACAGAAGAGACCTGGAGAACACCGCGCCCGACGGTCGCCGATGGGTGGCAGAAAATCCCGGCGGAAAGATCGACGCCGACGCCTACGCGCGCGGCCCCTGCCCTTGTCAGTCTTTTAAACACAGAGCCCGCAAAAGCTCCGAAAACGCAGGCGACAAAACCCACACACGACCAGGCCAACCGCTGCGCCGAGAGCATCACAAGCCGGCGGACCAGTCTGCGGCGCAGCCACCCACCAAACCCCCAAACAAATGCACAACACCAAAGGCCCCACAAGTCTGGGGAGAGAGACAGAGAAACCACAAAAACCAGAGACAGAAAGCGCGGAGCCCTATGCCGTCCCGCTGCAAGTTGTTGCGAGTTTGTTCCTGGCGATCCATTTGCTTCCCTGCCTTCATCAGACAAGAAGCATGGGAACCAACTTGGGCAGCTATTAGCAAAGCGACAAGCCCGAGCCTTGGCCCAAAAAGTTTCACTTTTCAACTATTTAAAAGCCCTCCAAGGTGGTCCTCTGAAGACCAACCCGCCAAGACCCGCCCAACCCGACATCGCGCACCGCTATGGACCGCCACAGCTCCGACTGGTGAGGGAGGTCCTCCTACTACTCCGACGCGGAGCTACCACGGCGCATCCTTGAGCCCATCCCCGAGCCATTTTTCCCTTCAAAAAGAAGCCGGGGACGGTTCTGAGGATGCGTGAGCCGTAGCCCTAGGTAAAGCATCAAAGAGAGCACTGCGCGAAGAGTTGTAGTCCATCTAGATCAACACGACCAAGAAAGAAGAGGCCATCCGCCCCCCGACTCGCACGCCAGGCCACCACAAAACCGCAGCGCCCCCCACCGGCAGCGGCAACTGCACTAACTGCTAAAGAAGAAGCGCCCCACCTGGGCGGCCCTATTTGGTCACCCCTTGAATAGAGGCCAGGCCTTCGCCTGGGTTGCGCCACTAAACGACACGCAGCAAGCGAGGCATCTACCGGCGCGACACAATGAGCCCAAGGCGTTGCTTTTTGTTTTTTGTGCATGCGTATGAAAGAGCTCAAAATACAGCCCAAGCCCTGTCGATGTTTTGCCCAAACACCATCGAAGCAGAAAACGAAAGCCCGAAGGCCCGACTCTTGTTTGGCCCGACTCTTGTTTGGGCGCCGAAGAGGCTCGCTGCAAGGTTGTGCCTTCTGAAAGAAACACGCAGCGACATTCTGACGCCCACTAGGTAGACTAGGGCCCAAGCTAAGCCGCAGCGAAGTGAGAGGAAAAAACGCGCACAGAACAGCTAGCGCCCTTGCATGTGTTCGCCGATTTTTAAGCCGCAAACCCGTCGCGGCGTAAGTGCAAGTGGTAACACCTGGCGCCAGCGAGGCTGCCACCTCAGTAAAAGAAATTCGAAAAATCATGGCGCGATAGCTTGCCCATATCCGGCCGGCAAATCGACCGCCAAGCGAGTGCGCAACTATGTGCGGACTTTGTGCGCGCTGAGGAGAAAGAGCAAGCCGAAAGGCCTTGCTTGCGCTAGCGCTCAAGTAGCTAGCTCGACGAACGTCCCAAGAAGTTAGCGCGATGAAATCTGTAAGGCCTGCAGTCTTGACATTACGACACAGTCAAGATTAGAGAGCAAGACAGCCCTACGCCGAAGCGTATGGCGAAAAAGTTTCAAGAGCAAGCGCTTGCGGGCAGTTATCCGCTAACTTCACACCTAATTATAACTAGACAGCCCCCCGCATGCAGCTGCATTCTGTGCACTGGTTTGCGTGCTGTCTGCTAGCGCGGCAACATGTCCCGCCAAAAGCGTTAGTGCTGAAAAGTTACAGACTCAAAAGGGCCCACGACGTAGCTGAGTCGAGACGAAAGCGCGCCCCGCCTACGCTCGCCCAACGTTTCCACTCGAGGACGATCCCAGACGAAATTCGGCCACGCCCTCCACCCCAGGCCCAACAGCTGCGCCTCCACCTAGTTCAGTAGCGGCGTCTTTCTGTTTCTCGTCCTTGGCACGCGGTTGCCAGCCTCCTGCTTCGCCATCGTTTCGAAGGTGTCCGCCATCGATTGCCCCACGCGTTTGCGCTTCTTGGCCGGCTCAGAAATCAGCGCAGCAAGCAGCTGACCCGTGTCTTGGGCAGCTTTATCGGCGGCGGTGCTCTGCAGCTCTTGATGTTGTTGAAGAGGAGACGCTGGCAAGACATCAGAGAGCAGCGGGAACAGAGAACCGAAGATCGCCAGCTTGTTGCCGCCATCACGTTTTTCCAGCTCTTCCACGGAGAGCTTCTCCAGGCTCGTCACCATGACAGCAAAAGCGTCAACGCCCTCCACCTGGTGAAACGGCATGGGCTTGAGGCCTCGAGCATCCTTGGCGGCCTTCTCGTCCTTCGTCCCCGGCTTCTTGATGTGCTGACGGATCAAAGCGCCACAGCCCGCACGGACACACAGCTGCGCGCCCACGCCCACCATCGACCATGGTCATACATTGTAGGGGCCAACTTCTGGCAGTACTCACGGGGGGCGACAGACGAGGCGCAAGCCAGCCATTGCGGTGAGGCGGCCGCCAGCTCATCCTTGATCTCCTGCGGCTACTTCATCAGGCCGATGATCTTCAAACAGATGAGATCCACGACACGCCCGCACGCCTTGGCCTTGGTGATCAAGAGGCGGAGACCCCATAGAAGACAGCCCGCGCAGATCGGTGCCTCTTTGGATACTGCTGGCCAGATGCGGGGCAACGGTGGCCCGGTTGGCGTCGTTGGGCTTGGGTGGCGCTTGTTGCTCCAGTTAGTTTGGCGCGGTCGTTCTTGATCTCGTTGAACGTCTCCAGACAGACGCCGAGGCCCCCGAGCTTGCCAAGCCCGTCAGCAGTCGCAGCGCCACGCCAAGCGGCCAGCCCTCCGCGCCGTTTTATTTGTTGGCGATGCTTTTCTTCTCAGGTCACAGCTATAGCAGATGGCTGCGCGCCGCGATCTTTACATACGCCACCGAGTGCAAAATGCTCGATCTTGGCGACCGGATCGGCCAGCGCGTAAGAACACAACAAGGCGACAAACTGGCGCAAGCAGCTGCGAGGCTTGGCGCCGAAGTTCCGCTCGTTGCCATGCTTCATCTTGGAGGCCCGCCGCCAAGAACGCACTGCAATCACAATCACTATCGGCCAAATTCTTGGCCTGGCGGGTGGTTTCACAACGAACAGTCTCCAAGGAGGTCTTTCTCCAATCCAGCGCGCTCGCGCTTCGCCGGCTTGGTGTAGTCCCTTAATATGGTGCGACTTCTTAAGGAATAGGAATACCAGCAAAGCTTCTGGGCCAAAGCCCTCTGACCCATCAAGCAGCCCCCATCCCCCGCCATACACGGCCTCGAAGATTCTTGTTCCCAAAGCCTGCCAGCGCGAGCCGTATTAGTATTTCGCCACGCATGGCGGGGCCGCTGTCTGTGGGGTGGTAGGGCGAGCTGAGGGCGATTAGTGCCGGAGATTAAGCCAAAGCAAAGCGCTTTTGGCGGTCACTGATCTCCAAGAGAACGCAACTTTTTGCGAGTTGCGCTCTCCTGAAAGCCCAGGAGACTTCTCAACCCTAAAGCCGCAGAAGATAAGAGACAACAATAAACGCAGACGGAGCACCTTTCAGGGATGACGTGGGTGTCTTACTTTGACTCTGGTCACTTCCACGCTCCCACGCACAGCTTCCAGCTGTGGCGGCCCGACAGTCCAGCTCCAGAGCGTTGCGACAAGCTTGGGCGGGTAGCGTGTGCCGCCGCAAAACACATAAGAACTACCGCCCTCTTTCTTCAAAAAAATCTACGGCGCCAGCCCGTTCTTCAACCAGGCCAGAATCTTGGGGGCTGGGACATTGCCGGCGCCAAGCAGTTGCGGAAAAGGATGCGACCCGAATGGTGGCCAGTGATCAAAGTGAGCCCCGGCGATCAAAAGAAGTTTACAAATGTCGAGCGAGATGCTGACGCACAGGACGAAAATTGACAAAGTGACCGCGGTCATTTTTGTGCCGCTGGTCCTTCATGTTGACACCAATGCCAAACAGCCAGAACCGAAGTACAGAAACCCTACACGAATCGCACTCCTTGGCCTGCGGCTCCGACATGGCCCGGGCCGCGCGCTTCTGGGTCAACCAGTTGCGCAGAGCGCTGCCAAGGAGAACAGTACGCAATGCGTTACTTGGTGAGTGACTCGCCTCGCAGCACCTTGGAAAGGGCCAGGCCCTCCCGCCGCTCCGGATACAAGAGCGCAGCCGCCTGCTTCGAGTGATATCCCGTCGCAAACTCCTTTGCGCCGTCGCTGCGCGACTTATAGGCCGACGCCCGGCACGTCGTCACGCATCTCCAGGGAATCCGCCAGCCAGAGGCGTCCATACTCCTGGCACTGCGTGCGGGTTCTGTCGCGGGTTTCCTCGCTGATGTTCTCCTTCTTCAGCACCTTCCTGCCCTTCTTGTTCGAAGCGATCTCACCCTGAACGCCCTGCGCCACAGACTTGCCAGCATCGTCAGCAAGCTGATCAGCGCCAACGCCCGCCCCCTCCCAAACGTCGCCGGAGACGTTCTTCGTCCATGCTGCATGGCTAAGAGCGTCCCCGGAGTTGCCAGCCGCCGCGCCATCTAAGGCGGAAGACTTGAGGGCGCTCTTCTTCTTAAGCCCCACCGGCTTGCCAGGGTACTTATTGCCGACAGCTTGCCCATTGTTACTACCCAGGCCGCCCTGAACTACTTGCGACGCCCAAGCAAGATTCCTCGATAGAAGGGGGAGCCTGACTCGATACGGCTTGACTACACAAAAGCGCTAGGCTTCTAACTACTCGAAGATACTTCAACCGAATGAGGAAGAAAGGCCCTACACTCTAAGAGTGCGAAGCCGCCTGCAGGTGGCGGCGGTGTTTGGTGTTTGGTGAGCTGTGAAGCGAAGGCCGCCGAAAGACCCAAGGAAACCAGCTAAAGACCTAAAACGGAAAAGCGTCCAGAAATAGACACACAAGCACACCACCAGCAAGAACCAGCAGAGACCCTTCAAGGAAGCAGCGCAGCAGACTGAGATCGCAGAAACATGAGAAGACAAAACACAACACAGCAAGGCAAGGAGTTAGCGAAGATCCCCAAGCCGAGACCAGAAAGTGCCAGAGGATCACCAGACGCATGCACAGCAGCAGAAAACCACCTTCACCCTCGAGAAAATTTCGCAGACCGCGCCAGCGCTTGACTTTGTTCGGAATTCTTGCAAGATGTTGGAGCTTCAATTTCGCAACTGGATTCAAATCATAACAAAAGAGGCACGCTCGCGCCACATTTGGAGGGTCAGAGATCTCGAAAGACTTCAGCCGCACAATGTAAGCCCTAAGGCGGAGGCGCGCCACTGTGCTTCTGTTCTTTATCGATACAAAAGACCCGCTCAAAAAATCGACTCAAATAATACGCTGCCCACTCTCGCGGCCCATGTAACTGACCCAAGGAAGAAATCGACCCAAGCTCGGGGCCGAGCGTGGGGCCAGTCTTGAAGACTTTCAGACGCAGAGAGGCGAGGCCTAAGTAAGAAAGCGCGCAGCCCGTGGCAGGAGGGTCGGTAGGGACAAGGGCTATAGATGCAAAATAAGCCAAAAGGCCTCCGTTCGTTATAGACTGCGGCAGCATCTGAGCGTCGGCGGTGGAGCTGAGTGCAGCGATACCCATAGAGAGCAGTAGCGCAGAAGATAAATAACAAGCCCAATCAAACGCTCCTGCTTCTTCCGCTTCTTCAGGTTTATATCGCCAGCAGCGTCGTTGCCCCGCTTCCCGCCCACTTTCTCGTCTGAGAAGAACGACAAAGACAGCGCCAAGCCCTGCACCTCGGTGGCCTTCCCCTCGATAAGTGTGCCCTCTTGCGCAAGATCCCGAAGACCATGCGAGCCTTTCAGCGTCTAATCCTTATCAGGAGCCTGCCCGCCAACCTCCATCCACAGCGCGCAGAGGTGTGACACCTTCAGACAGTAATACTCCACCAACGTCGAAGCCCCCAAAGCAGTGTCGGCCTTGGCGCCGTGCTGTTTCCTCTTGGGCAGGCTCATCCTCTTGAGGAATTCGCCACCAGTAGGCGAAAGCGGTTTGATCTGGTAAGCATCCACGTCCACCAAAAGACCTGGGCGCCCTTCTGTCAGACTACTCGGCCCGCCGCGAATTTCTACAACGAAGAACAGCGCCGACGCCTCTGCTTTTTTACGCTTCTGCCTTTCTCTCTCAGCCTGGAGGGCTTCCTTGCTCTTTTTCGCGTCCGCTGATGTTCACGCTGTTAGCAGATGAGGCCGATCGGCTGCTACTAGGTGACGACGCTGGGCAAGGCCTGTTTTGGGGCGAGCGCAGCCGCACCCTTCGCAACAGCTCGGGGCCAGGGATCTTCAGGCAGATCATCATCGCCAGCTAATAAAACACCCTACAAGCCAGCGCGATTCTTCAGCGCGTCCGGATCTGCTTCAAGACCATCGAAGAATGCCCCCAGCATCTTCATCACCACCATCTTCGCCATGCCATCAGCCACCAGCCCAACCTCCTCGACGAGTGTGCTGGCCTCGTCGCGGTCCTCTTCTTCTTTTGTCTGGCAGCTTCTTTGTTTTGCCCGGCAGCTTCCTTGTTTTGTCCTGCAGCTTCTGCGCCAAGAGATGGGCTAGCTGCTGCAGATGTCTTGCGAGCTGTGGGCTGTCCTCCATAAACTTCAAACCAACATCCGGAAGCTTTGCGCCAGCTTGTGCTGCAGCAGCTGTTGCTTTCTCGACAACACCAGCAAGCTGCTTCTTCGGCGTGTTGAGGTCGTCCCACTCACGCACACGAAGCACCAGCCCACCGCCCAAGGCCATATGGATAGAGTTCCTAGGCGTTGTTTTGTGTTCTCCTTTGCCCGCTTTTCGTGGAAAGCCACGAAAAGCAGACCGCGCCGCCCGCTAGAGTAGACGCGACCAGGGCGCAGACGACAGCCGACAGAAAGCAGAAGACAGACGACAGGAGGCCGAACACAGACGACAGGAGGCCGAACACAGACGACAGAAGGCAGACGACAGGAGGCAGACGACAGAAAGCAGACGACAGAAAGCAGACGACAGAGAGCAGACGACAGAAAGCAGACGACAAGAGGCAGACGACAGAAGGCAGACGACAGAAGGCAGACGACAGAAGGCAGACGACAGAAAGCAGGCGACAGATGAAGGCAGACGACAGAAGGCAGAAGGCAGAAGACAGAAAGCAGAAGACAGGAGGCAGAAGACAGAAGGCAGAAGACAGAAGACAGAGAGCAGAAGACAGACGACAGAAGACGATCGACAGCCGACGACGATCGACGACAGACGAGAGGCCCAGACGATCGACGACAGGCGCAGACGATCGACGACAGGCGAAGACGATCGACGACAGGCGCAGACGATCGACGACAGGCGAAGACGATCGACGACACGCGCAGACGATCGACGGCAGGCGATCGACGACAAACGCAGACGATCAACGACAGGCGAAGACGATCGACGACAGGCGCAGACGATCGACGACAAGCGCAGACGATCGACGACAGGCGCAGACGATCGACGACAGGCGGAGACGATCGACGACAGGCGCAGACGATCGACGACGGGCGCAGACGATCGACGACAAACGCAGACGACCGACGACAGGCGCAGACGACCGACGACAAGCGCAGACGACCGACGACAAGCGCCGACGATCGACGACAGGCGCAGACGATCGACGACAGGAGGCGCAGACGATCGACGACAGGCGCAGGCGATGGACTGGAGGGACAGGGGAGGCGGGCTAGAGTCCCCTTTCCCTGTGAACACCCTTTCCCTGTGAGAATGGAGAGAAGCGCGGCTTCAGTTTTTTCACTATCGTGAAGCGCTTTCTTGAGCCTTCTCGCAGGAGGAGCTCCCCCCTGAGTCCCTGCAGGTGGGTGCGTGGTCGAGGGAAAAGACTATCTGGCACATTGGCAACAACGCCCCTCAGGCTAGTCGTTCCTTTCTACAGACCTCACGGACGCTCACCATTGGCACGCACTGGCGCACGCTTGAGGAGCACCCGACGACGCTCCTGGCACGCATCTGACTGCGACAGCCCACCTGGCGACACGTGGCACCGCTTGGGACCGCAGAAGCCTGAGCGCCTTGCTTCAAGCCTGGATCTTTGTTTTGCCTTGCTCCAGAACTGGACCCTTTTGGACCACACCACGCAAAAGGAGACTGGGTCTTCACTTGAGAGAGGGGCAGACGCTTCATCTGTGGTCTGATTGTGGTCGCTATGAGATCACGGCCCTCTTGACTGAACACACTGGGAAGGTTCCCGCTCCCGCGGAGAGGGGCCTACATGGCTCTTTTTGTGCGTGAGTGAGTGCTTCTTTACTCGTGGCGCCTAGCCCCTGCACTGACGGGGTGGCGAAAATAACAGACAGCCAGACCCTGCAGTGACGGGCCAGCCTGCGGAGAGCGTGCGGCTTCCATAGCCTAGCGCGCCCCCCTGCAGAGCAGGCACAGGCGACATGCTCTGCGAGGGCCCCCGGAGGGGCTCCCGATGCTGCGTCACCTACCCCTTGCGAGGTCATGGGCGGCGCCAGCATCGTCGGGAGTGGCGGTGCTGCTGGTTGCAGCTTTGCTCCCAGGAGCTCTCCCCCATCCAAGATCTCAAGAGTCCCCGCGAGGAGGGATGGCGACTGCTACCGAGCTGGAGACAGCTCAAGATAGCGAGTCCCGCACTCCCGGCGAGAGCGATTACTCTGGGGGCCCCCGGTCAAGGGCTCCTGGCACTGAGGAAACGCGCTCAGCCGGCGTTCTCAATGAGAGCGAAGAAATCCAACCGACAGCACAGCGGCCAAGAGGACGCGCTGTTCACTCTGCTCGTCACTTGAATACAAAGTAGCACAACTCGCGCATAATATAATATACTCTTGCTAACTTTAAATCAAGTCATAACAATCATAACAAGTACCTTTTTCATGTTCATCGACGACTGCTGCAGGGCCAACTCCGCTTCCGCAATCACCGCCAAGGTCTTTTCATGTTGGTCAGTGACCTGCGTTCGTATCTTTTCTATCCTCTCCAGCACGGTCGGCTCGTCCGCTTGCTGAAGCGCCGCACCTGCAGCATTAGAGGCCTGATATGGAAAGGGAAGAGTGGGCTCAACTTCAAAGCCTTGATTAATATTAAGAGCAATAAAACTCAGCAAGCACTTCCCCTCCGAAGCCTCAACCCCCAACACCCAAACCCACAACCCCCGAAACCCTCAACCCCCAACCCCTCAACCTCCGAAACAAAAACCAACAAACCCAAAACCCATGAACCCACGAACCAAACTCATGAAATCGCGAACCCATGAGCCCATGAGCTCAGGAACCCAAGAGCCCAAGAACTCAGGAAGCCCGAAGCCCCAGAACTCCAGGAACTCAGGAAGCCCGAAGCCCCAGAACTCCCAAGCCCAGGAACCCACGGTCCAGCAAAATGAATTTCAGAAAAAAATGCTCAAAGTCAAAAGTTTTGGGATTTGAGTGCGGCACCCAAATCCAGCGAATTTAATCCAAAAGCGACAAAATAACGCAGAAAGCTTCGAAATTTGAGAAATTCAAATCCAGCAAAAATGCGCAAAGTTAAAAAGCCCAGATAATCTCACTCAAATTGAATCGAAGAAAAATTGCGCAAAATCAAAAACTTTGGGATTTGAGAAATCCAAATCCGGCGAATTCAATCCCAAAGCGACAAAATAATGCGGAAAGCTTCGAAATTTGAGAAATTGAAGCCCGGGGCTGAATTTCAGAAAAGCGCCCAAAGTCAAAAGCTTTGGGATTTGAGATATTCATATCCTACGAATGCAGCAGTCCGAAAGCAGGTCCGGAATTCGAGAAATTCAACTCCAAGAAGTTGAAACTCAGAAAAAGTGCCTAAAGTCAAAAGTTTTGGGATTTGGGAACTTCAGATCCGGCGAATTCAATCCCAAAGGGACGAAATAATGCGGAAAGCTTCGAAATTTGAGAAATTCAAACGCATAAACCCACGAACTTGCGAACTCGTAAACCCGTGAGCCCTACGCATAAACCCCTGAGCCAATGATCCAGGGGCTTGAATGTCAGAGAAAATGCCTAAAATCAAAAATTTTGCGATTTGAGAAACCCAAGCCCATCAACGAACTCAATCCCAAAGCGGCAAAATAATAATAGAGCTAGGCTCTTTTTGACCCATATCGGGTCGGGTTGCTCGGGTTGCTCGAGTTGCCAACCCAAATTCTTTGCGCGGCGCCCTTCGGGCGCAGATTTATGACCCTACGAGAGACCAGACCTTAACAAGAGCGCACGACACGACCACGCGCCGCGCCGTAGTTGCTCGTATATAAATAGATAGCGCGCCAATCCATTTCAATTCAGCAACCCCCTCCAGTATGCTTACTGCTATACCCAAGACTGGACACCTCGCCCGCTGAAGCAAGCAGGCGGAAACTCGCTCTCAGCCCCCAAGTAGATTGGCCACGCTCGCACCCGAAGAAAAAAGGGAGAGATCGCCAACGACTCGAAGACGACACACCACAGCGCCACTCACCCCAAAAAAAACAACAGAGAGCAGGGGCATGCGCTCCTTGTTTTCGCTTCAAACACGCGTCCGCACGCTACAAAAGAAGAGCCCGAAAGCCTGCAGAGCCCTTCGCACGTGGCTGCCCCTTTCAAGAGCAAAAAAAAAAAAAAGAAACTGCGCCCTTCTCCATTTCCTAACTTCGAGCGTACAAATGCCCCCCCATACCGCCCGGCTTCGCCCCATTTTGCTGGGTCAGGATTCTCCTGGCAACCCGTGGCAACCCGTTCCAGATTTGGAACCCCTGCGCTTCGGCAACCCGAGCAACCCGTTGCAACTCGAGCAACCCGAAGCCCGCTATTTACCTTACTCTATAATAAGGAAAGCTTCGAAGTTTGAGAAATTCAAATCCAAGACGCTGAATTTCAGACAAAGGCCGAAAGTCAAAAACTTTGGGACTTGAGAAATCCAAATCCGGCGAGTTTAATGCTAATCCCTAATGGGCAAAATAATAAGGAAAGCCTCGAAATTTGAGAAATTGCCACGCCAGGAGATTGAATCTCAGAGGAAAGGCCTAAAGTCGAAAGTTTTGGAATTCGAAGAATTCAAAGCCAGCGAATTTAATCCGTCCCAAAGCCGCAAAACAATGCGGAAGGCTTCGAAATTTGGCCCATTCAAATCCAAGAAGTTGACTTTCAGCGAAACTGCTTAAACTAGAGCTAAAAAATTGCCGACCTGTTCCGTGGGTTACTTCGGGGGGGGGAGCATCCTAGTGCGAGGGGTTGTTCTCGGGCGCTCCAAGCTAGTAAGTAATTTTCAGCTAGCTTAAAGTAGAGAGTGTTAACTAGCTAAGCAGTTAAGGTAGTGGCTGAGAGTGGTCCAGCGCAGGTCGTCGAAGTCAGTCCAAGCGAGCTGCCATCTGAAGATCTTCTATTCCTGGTGGCCTGTGGCACGAAAGAATGAGGACAGGAGATGACGCTTTTCTTGTAATTTGGTCTGTGGCACCAGGTGGCGCCACAGACACCAGAGAAGGAAAGTCACATCCACTGGACTCATTCTTGTGTGGCTGAGGCCACCGCAAATAGTAGATCTTCCATGGCATCTCTCGCTTTGACCTGCCTCCGCGACCCAAGCTCGACCACTCTCAGTTAACTGGCTAGTTTTCTGACGTAAATAAAGTAAATTAGTCAAGTTATTGAAGTTGAGTCCACTTTTTCTTTCCATATCTGACTGTGTTAACTTATTCATGAAAACGGAAGAAGTGGGGTTCATCACATGGAAGAAAATTAATACAGATAGGTAGCACTTCTAGACCTGGTCGTAGGAGTATCAGCAAACGAGATATCGGGGGACGGATGTTACGTAAAAAGCTCTAACTACAGCTCCATGTCCTGAGGCGGCAGCATATGCAGGATATCTATACCGGAGCAATTTATAAGGTTCCACGGCTCGCATGGCATGGAGTGCATGGATCACATGGAGTAGCATGGAGCTAAAGGGGGAGCTTCTTGCGCCCCTTAAAGCTCTGCGCTCCATGCTATTCCATGCGCCATGCGTGCTATAAACTACTCTGTGTGTGCGTATCTTTTAGTCCCCACTGTTACAGACTTTGACTCGTCAGTCCAAGTCCAAACTTAGGCCGGCTTGGTCAAGCTTTTGACATTCAACAAGTATGACTAGATGTATAGGCGTCGACTCCTACATATAGTACACCCTTCGTCTTGGTGTTGATGTGTATTGCTAACGTCAAATCAAGCCATAACGCCAGAATTCGCCGCAGGGTCTTCTTTGGCCGTATTTTCTATGAAACTCGAGATCTCACCAGTTGGGTCCACAGATATCAATAAACTCGGCGCCTCAGCAGAGTCTTCGCCTTCAATAGTGTCGGTCTCAAGTAGAAAGGCGTCTGGGTCTGTTAGTGCGGTTGTTTTCATGATAGAGACAGGAGATTGCGCTGTACTAAGATTTTATTCAGTTTGGTTCTGAACTACAAGTCCTCAGAATTTATCATCCTCATCTTGAGGAACAAGTAGAACTCGTGCTGCAAGATAAATTGCGACCGAGTAGAAGTACTTCTAGAACGAGTGCTGCAAGATAAATTGTGAACGAGTAGACCGCGCCAAAATAAGGATAAATTAGTACGTTGATCTCGAAGATTGTGTTTGATGTGGTGCGCTCTAGTACTTTTCTCAGCTCTGTTGCTACTCTCGTTCTCCCTCGTTTCGTCACGTCCTGCCCCATGAAGACCTAGCGTCGCGCTCTCGCTTCCACCCCGTTCGCCCAAGCCAGCATCGCGGTCATCAAGAGCAGAATCATCAAAGTTGTTCGGTTTCCGGTTATCACGTGACTGTACGTCAACGAATTGCGAAAGCAATGCTGGTATCACCACATGCACAAAAATATGCTTACCACACCAACGCTGTGCGTAGTTGTGCGTCGTTGTAAATAATTTCGGGAGACGATGGCCGCGCCACCTGTTCATATTTCAATCATGTAGGAACGCACTCATCCATCATGTTATAAGAGTAATCGGAGACGTATTGCACAAAAAAACGTTATCATTATCGTTTTTTTGATTTTCTGAGCTTTGCACACTCATGCCGACCCGATACTTGGATGCTGGAGGCGGAGGAGTCGCAGTAGCAGGCCGTGGATATTCATCAGGTGCCTGAGTATGTTTTTGCGGATAGGTTTGCAAGTAGTCGATGTTGGCTATGAAATTCGTGACGTTTCTGGAGAATACTAAGGGTGTGGCCTTTACTTGATATTATCCACAAAGTCACGCTCTCCATAACTGCGGAACCACCTCGAGACCTCCAATGGTGAACGCCGAAGACCGCCTGAAGAGACTGCAGCTGCAGCGCTGTCACTTATGAGAGGACTTGACTAAGAATGTTTTTAGCTGACTTCTTTGAGCAAATTATCTAGCTTTGGCGTCGTTTCATAACTCGGAGGACAATGTCGCAACTACACCACTCTCGTTAGCAAGTCGCTGTCTCATTGGTCTCGCCATAAGCAGAGCACTGGCTCCCTTCGCCATTTCGTCAAAAAGATGATGAGAGACGTCGACCTCGAAACTGATGGGGAGTGGTTTTCTTTGAGTGATGAGATGGAATTCGTTGTCGCTAGTCACGCCCTCACTTTACAAAGACGGAACCAAAAAAAGGGGACACCTTTAATCTAGTCGCCTTAAGCTGCTAACGCCTGTGATCAATAGAGAAACCCGCATCGACCCTGACGCGCAACACCATAGAAGTCTACGCATCTCCATACCAAAGACTAACTTTCACACTTGTCACCGCAAAGATGTTCAACCTATCGCAAGCTGCCACCTTGGAGGAGAAGTTCAAGGGGTGGCAGAAGGATGCGAAGGAGGCGCATGTCGCAGGCCTCATGACGGAGCTGAAATATTTAGCGCAGTTTGTCAAATCGGATGAGGAGACTGACGCTCTCACCGCAGAGCTGCGCGCTGGTCTCAAGAAGCGGAACGATAAGAATCCCACCAAGGGAACTCTTTACTCCAGGCGCAATTTCAAAAGTATTCTTTATCTTTGTTCATAATATGAGAGTCTTCGTCCCGCCTCATCTATTTGCCGCAGTCTGCTACCGTGAATGCTTTGAGTCGTTAGAGTTTGCCAGTTCCTGAGAGTGTGGCGGAGAACATCTCTGGCCATGCAGTCTGTGTTTTTGTCTGATTCGGAGCCCAAGCTTCCTTTTATCCAACATTCAAACTACCGACTACAGACGGCTGGAAAGACGTCCCCGAGACGCACTATGCTAAGTTTTTCAAGAAGCTGCTGAATGGTGAGGAGTTTACTTTTGGACGCATGCAGCGGATTATTCCGGACAAAAAAACAGGGTACGCCCTATCTCGTGCGATCGGCATCACTGCAGAAGCTGCACTAGATTTAGACCCTCCTCGTATGTACTCCATGAGACTATATATTCACTGGTAGTTCTCCGAGCATAGTCTTTAGCAGACTACTGTTTGGAATCTTTCCTCAAGGCCCAGAAAATCGTCTTCGCAATGCCTTTCGCGGATTGCGTAACACAATTGATCTGATGCACTAAAACAACTCGAACCGCCTTGCGCTCAAGAAGGCTTCTCAAGTGGGTCAAAGCGCAAATTTCCAAGTCAGTGACTCGGGTCTGAGGAACAGCAGCAAGAATCTGCGTCGAGTTGCCTTCTAGACAGATGGCTCCTTGTTGCTGCGGTGTATCTGTATTGGTCGCGACAACCTCAAAACCAGTAAGCAGCTCAGACCAAACGTCGGAGCATATGTTAATCGGCCATGATACTGGGAGCAATGCGCGACTCAACGCGGCAGCGTCCACAACCAACCGCCCTAACAAAGATCCCTTTCTCTTCGCAAGGAAAGCGGAGCTGAGAAACGACGGCGCGCCAATGAATCTGCGCTGCAAACGTATGGCAAGGCGCCCGAAAACCTTCGGCGCAACCCTCTCGCAGTAGGAAAAAGATGACTGTGGCTAGTACTCCGGGAAGTGTAAACTTTTTTGCGAGCCACACCGAGAGGGCTCCTAGTGTCCAACGGGTGGTAGACTTTACACAACTGGACTGTAGGGAAAGGCCGCCCAGGGCCCCACGCCTTGTCTCGGAATATCAGCACAATTTTGATGAACATTATGCGCAGCAGAAAAGGAAGCAGCGCCAGACTCTTAGAGAGCGTCTTGAAAGTGACCTCTTCCCACTGGGCCGCGTCAATTGTGTCAGACATACTCTTCTCTCGTGCTGCGATTTCTTCTTTAGTCTGCGTCTCTGTTGCATCTCCTGAAATCGCGTTTCTGTATGTCTTGTACTTCGAATGCTGTGACTTGTCGGCGTCGTCCTGTGTCGCCTCTGGTGCGTCCTGCGCCATTCCACTTATCTGAGTCATGCGGGCACGAACGTGCTTAAGTTGATCTCCTGCGACGGCGTCTCTCAAAACGAGCATAGGACGGAGAACCCTGCTACTCTTATCTACAAGAGTGCAGCTAAACTGGATTCCTCGCGCAAGATCCGCTAGCGGAAGCACCAGCGGAGCTCCGGGCACTGAAACCATAGAGGTGAAACTGACATCGACGGAAATGCGGTAGGATTCGTCGTTGTGTGAGCGATGGAAAACAGAGCACGGATCTACTTGAATTTCATGGAGGCTCGGAATCCCTGGCGCGAGACTCGATTTCTCGACTACCCAGGACAAGCCATCCGCATGCAGTAGGGGGCGTTCGAGTGAGAGGAGCGGGAGAGTCTCCTCAAGAGTGGGGACAACTGCGACAGTCCGCAGCGGTTTTCCGACCGGATAGACCCGGGAGAACAAGTTCTTGACAATGTCCCGCCACTCCTCAAACGTTGACTCCGGTAACTCAATGCCCTCCGTGTTTTCGATATGTCTGCTACCAATATCTTCTAGATTTGAAGATGCACCAATCCGATGAACCCGATACACAACTCGAGACGAAAGGGCGGCGTGGATTTCGCCTGCCATTGCTGCAGCAGACCGCTGAGAACGCACGCCCAGTGATTCCGTAAGTAATTCTCGGACACCTAGTGACGAACAGTCGTAAAACAGTGCGATCGGGACAGCCAGCGGGATGCGTGGGAGAATTTCTCGGACGAAATAACGCAACCCGAGAAGCTCCGTTCGTCCTGAGCTATTAGCATTCCTCGCTTGGTCCTCCGCGCCAACCTTCCAATGTGAGGCGAAAGCGATTCGATGTTTCTGCAATTGTTTTTGGACCGCAAAAGCAGAGCATCCTTCTCTAGATGAGTCAATGCCGAATCGTAGGAGTCCTCCTGTCTCCTTCCAGCGGATGGCTGAGTCTACATCCAGCTCACAAAGCTCGACTGCCCGTATCAGATCAGAATGTGCCTGGTTGAATAGTTCTCGTGCCCGCGGGTCAGATGCGAGTTCCTTGATGGGCCTCTTGTTCGTCATGAAGTCGGTAAAGAAGTCAAGAAGTCCAGGATCTTGGGCCACTCGCGGATGGAGCATGACATGTAATTGACTGCGCACACCCAGCTCTTAAGCGTTTTAAGCGTGGTGGGCATCTTCATCCTAGCCAGCGACGCAACTTTCTGCGGATCTGGTCTCCTGCAGCGTTGCTCGTAATCTAACTCCCACCCGAGTATGTAAACTCTGGTGGCGAGAGAGATTTTCTTGAGTGAAAAGTTAAATCCGGACGCCCAACATCGTGCTAAAAATTGTATGAGTCGGAAAAGAAGTTGGAGCGCGTTGCCCGCTCGGTAGTTACAATCGTCCATGTATGGCACACTGTAGCGTCGTCCAATCGGAAGACTCTCTTGTAGTGAATTGGTTACGCCCTGCATCTCGTCTGAGGGTGGGTCAACATACAAGGAGTCGCCAAAAAGGTCATCTGGTCCATTAGTGCGGCAAGGCGGCAAATATGTGCTCACTCTTGCCTATTTCGTGTCCGTATTGGTCAACAAGTGCGTCATAGCCCATTGTGCCCGTTGCAATTGCTGCTAGTGCTTTTGGATCAAATCCAGGATCCTGCAAGTTGAAGAAAACCAATGAGACCCAAAGACAGTAAACTGCCGGCGCAAAAACAAGCCCCAAGAACATCCGCAGCGGCACATAGACGCTAGTACCATATCCAAGCGCGGCGACCTTCTGCGTTTTGGGGTGGAGTAGGAACTGGAGAAATCCTTTTGCGTGATCCAGTCCAACAAAGCATCCGACCTTGGCGGATCGTAGCCACTCAAAGGCGCATCCTTCCACCGCTGCAATACGGAGGATAGGGGTCGCCACATTGTAAAGGAGCTGAATTACCAGAGTAAGAGACTGCCAAGCCCCACAGGCTACTGAGAACTTTGGGACAAACTTGCCCCGAAGTTCATCAGTATCAGATCCGTTCTTGACGTGGTCCTCAACTGCCTTCTTGACGTGTTCTGGGACATCCTTATCTGCATCCTCTACAGAGCAAGAACGCAGGGCACCCAAAGGATCTGGGGTAGAATCGGGATCGCCAGGGTTAACCTCAGAAAATCTGCCGTATCTCGACACTTCTAAGATGTGACTATCCAGCCGGCAAAACACTGGCAGCGGCTCATCTGGCTGAGTATATTGCGGCTGCTGCATACTATCCAAGTTCTCCTCTGTGCAAGACGAGATCTCGCGGGTTTCGCAAAGGCCACAACCCTCCGGCGGGAAGTGAACTCGTCGGGTATTCTGGAAGACCGGACTGCCAATCCAGTGCGGAAGTCGATGCACATAGAGGGGCGCAATTTGCTTTGTCAAAGGGTTCTGCAACCTGCTGAGCAAAATACGCCCAAGCTTGTCACAAATGCCGCCAACCGGGTTCGTGTCGTTTAAACAATACCCTACTCGCGCCATATCATTTACTCCTAAAACAATTCGGCCGCGCTCATATAATAACCACGGCACTAGCATCAACACAAATGCGCCTGGTACTGTGGCGTCACCAAGATCAGCCATGTTCTCCGGTTCTTTCAGCCATGAGAATCTTGATCCGTTAGCCGCGTCCTCGATTGTTGCTGACGCTTTAACATATCGAAACCGTGACGGCAAAACGCTGCACGGGGCTGAGAGTCCTTCTGAAAGGGAAGCGTAGTTCTCCTCGGAGTCATATCTTGCAAAAGCAAGAGACACTTCACAATATTCGAGCACTCCTTGCTGGACGCCTGCAGATGGCGAACCAAAGGCGGCGCACTCGACCTTGCTCATGTCGCGTTGGATCTTCACTCCAAGGTGGTCAAAATAGTCTCGATTTCCCAAAGAGTTTCCGTATAAGTGCCTGGAAACGGCACAACCAGAATCCGGCAAAATGCTGACAACGGAATACTCAGGACATTCCCCGTCCCGCGGTAGTGCCACTGCTGCTGCAATCCGGTTTGGCAATGGCTCCGGGGCAATGCGCTTGCCTCCAGGTCCAATTTGACGAAGCTCAGGAGAAGCGTTCAGGGAGCCTCGAAATCTCGGTCCATCGCTCGTGTAAAGTCCTGTAACATCAGCAGGACTGCAGCGCAGCCCGAACCTCTCCGTAAAGTGGGCCTCAGCGTTACGATAGTGACGCTGGCGCTCTGCATGGATATGAGCACGTCGTAGCTGTGCCAGTTTGTGCGCTACCACGTCATCTTCGTCTTCAACTGTAGTAGGTCCGGCATCCACACAAGCCTCAGCCTGAACAGCTATTCTTACCCATTCGTCCAAAACTCGTTTTTTCTGGAAGGCGAGCAGCTTGCTGTTACTGTGTGGGTGAAAAAATTCCACTATTTCCTGGGCGTCGTTAAGCAGAAACGAGACAGTAACTATATTACCGCGGATCTGTTGTCCAGAATCTTCTTCCTCGATTTCCTCAAAAGGAGGGCTTCTCTCCAGGAATTTAAGCATGCCCTTCGTAGACAGGCTAACTCCCCAAAGGCTCTCGAAGTCGCCCGACTGCGGGGCGGGAGTTGAATGTACCAAGCAGGGGCCCGCTGATGTAGATCTGCTCGTCGAGAAAGGGGCAGCAACCCTTGGCAAAGTACCGGCGAACGTGTCTCAGACCACTTTGCGGCCTACGCCCGACGCAGAATCGTCATCGTCGGTTGTGTACATGTCCTCCGGGTCGACGCCGGCAGTCCTTGAGGCGGCTTGTTGATAACGACCTGCGTCAAACATTCGGGCCCTTCTGTCAGATGAAGCTTCAATCGGAAGGGCCTCTCTTTCGCTCGTGTTCCCTCGCCATTTCCGCAAGCAGCGCTTGTTGCAAGGACAGCGGGAGAAGAAGTTGGCGAAGGAAAATGGTGATCCTGTCATGATCGAAGGGTCGGATTCGTGGCGCCTCCTAAGGGCATCAGCATGCTCTTGGGATACCTCTAAACGCCGGCAATTACATCCCGACGGCATAGGTGGCGGGGTGAAAAACTTCTGCAAGAAGCTTGTGGAAGGAGATGATGGCCTTGTCGGGATCGAAAGGTCGGGTCCGCGGCGCTTCCTAAGGGCATCGGCATGCTCTTGGGATACTTCTAGACGCTGATAATTGTGCCCCGACGGCATAGGTGGCGGGGTCAGAAACCTCTGCAGAAAGTTTGTGGACGAAGGCGGTGGCCTTGTCGGGATCGAAAGGCTGGCTTCGTGGCGCCTCCTAAGAGCATCAGCATGCTCTTGGGATATCTCTAAGCGCCGATATCTGTGTCCCGACGGCATAGGTGGCGGGATCAGAAACTCTTGCTGAGGTCATGGCGTTGGTGGTGAAACCGTAGGGGAGCGGGGTGCAGCGGGAGCTTCAGATACTCTCCGGAGCGGCCGGGATCTTACGGCCAAAGTCCCGTCGGTCACGCGTCCGAACGGTGTCGCTACAACAGGTTCTTGCTTGCCCTTCCGCTGGTTCGGGTCCATGCGCGGTGGCTTAATTTCAGACTGCTGCTTCGAAACTCGAGCTCTCTGATCTCGTGTCAAACTGCTATCCCATCCTCCGAGATGCCGCACCGTCTGAGGCGTCTTATGCTTTAGATCTCTGATTTTGGAACGTGCCATCCGGGGCTTGTACTGGTTTACGACGTGGCCCATAGGCCGTGCCTCGCGTAGCGCTTGCGAGACTCTTTCGTTCTCAACAAAGGTCTTATCAAACGACCACTCCTTCTCGGTAAAAGCCTGCAAAGCCTTCTTGAAAAGGTAGCCCAGCTGGTTCTTGTCCACTGAATTGAAACAAGTGCGATTCGGCATCTTAGCGCCGTTTTCAATCCTCCACTTCGCAATCAGGTCAGCACAGATCCAGACTTGACCCGACACCCCCTCGCGTCGTATCTTGATGCTGCCACGTTTTGTGCCACAAGTCGGACAGTCCACGTTCTGCGGTGTAGTAGTGTGCGCAAAACAGTGAGCAGCTGTAAGAAGGTGGAACATAACACAGCCAAGTCGTGAGTGATTACCGCCGCACTTCTTACTGTTCTTGCCCGATCCCTTTCCTTTTGTCTGGTTCGGTTCTGTGGACCTCCAAAGTAGGTCTGCGACGTCGAGTTTATTTCGGGTGTCCGCACCTGAAAGGGATGGCCCTTCTAAAGTGCCACCTCGCTGGTACTCGTTGTTGTAGTCCTCCTGATCGCCCTGTTCCTCGTTGAGTCGGCGACTCTGAAGGTTCTTGCGTTGTCGTTCCTTATAGAATCTATCCGGATCTATTGGCTGCCCCTCAAATGCGTCTTTGATGACGAATTCAAAGACCTCTGAAAGGCGTCGGCCCGCCTCAATATCAAAGGCGCGTCCGTTTATGGCTGCGTCCATTTTCATGGTCTTGCACATGTTTTCCATGAGCGTGCCCTGCTGTTGGAGCGGTCTAAGAATTGCATGAAAGACTTTACTATCATTGCGGCTACTCGGATCTGAATTCGGGTAGTAGAGGCGGCTCAGCTCGGAGATGTGCCCTTTCTGCTGTTGTGCCCACTGGAGGCGGTTAGCCCTTGCATTATCAAACCTCTGCCCAATCGGCAAGCTCCTCGGCGACTGTACTTCTCGGATGACGCCTCGATGTGTAAGTCTCCAACCCTTTTCCAGTTCCGTGAACTGTGCATACGCTTTGTGTAAGTCGCCGAGCACCGAATTCACAATGTCCCACGCGTCTCGTCCTACTTTCGACTCGATTTCGACGGCCTCGAAGGCGGTCTGCGTGAAGTCGAAATCTCTGAGGAACTTCCACAGGGCTTCGCGTTCATTCATCATTGCTAGCTGGGACATGCCTGCTTCGCAAGTTATGGAGTTTGGAGGGCGCCTGTCGCTCCAGCGGCTTGGCGCCAGACCCTCCAATTGTGGCGGCTCCGTTAAGGCGGCGGGCCATGGCTTGAAAAGTGCCGCCAGACCCAGACACAAGTGATGAAATATGATTGCTGGCCATGTTCTGGATGGTCAGCTCTAGCGGGAAAAGGGCTGAGAGATTGTCGCCAGCGACCTCTTCCACTACGATGGGCGGCGCCGAAGGCATGTTTCTGCGATGAGGGTGCATCTTCTTGGAGCTGCCCGGTGAAGGTGTGGGCACTCCTGCAGACACGTCGCCTCTCGGCTGGTATGTTTCTGTAAAGGTCAGAAAGTTCTGGAACGCCAGATATGTTTCGGACTTCTCGGTCTCCTTAGCGTTGATTTTGCTAATTTCCCCTAGGGACTTCTGCTCCAAATTATGCCTGGTAGAGCTAGGCCTCGGCGCTGGTAGGGGCGGCGTAACGGACCCGCCAGCTCCGATGTCAGACCGGCTTAGCTCAGGTCTGTACTGGTTGACCGGTAGACGAGTGCTCGCTGGCGGCCCACTCGGTCCCGCTCCCGTTACAAATGTTGGATGTCCTGTTAGTTGTTGTCCGGTCGGCCTCGGCCCCGGAAGAGCGGAACTTGCGCTGGCGGCTATCGGGTGTCCGCGGGTTTCTGAAGTCGAAGGTCGTGCAGGGTGATAAACCGCAGACGACGGGATGGCTGTTTCTCCGTAGTCTGCTCCTAGGCTCGGGACCCCACCAGGTGGAAGTGCCGGCGCATATATCAGGCCCATGGACGGCGATTCAGGAGCCAACCCTGGAGGATAGTGCGAATGCGATGGTAAAATCGTAATGCCGAAGTGTGGGGTTCGTGAAATCGCTTCAGCCTTCGGCGCATTCTGCGGCGAAAGACCTTGCACAGGTGGCATTGCTGTGCCACTTCGGCCGGCTGGCAAGGCAAAGTCACTACGTAGTGCGGCGAATGAGCCACCTGTAACGGGCGGAAAAGGAACCGCTGTAAGTCCAGGAATAGGCAGGCGGCCGCAAGATTTTCGCGGCCTAACAACACGCCAACCAAGTCCCTCAGGTCCGGTAGAAGAGCGTAGGCTCCTAAGTACACCTGTAGGCGCGACCGTAGGAGACAAATACTCCGAACCACTTCCGGGCGCCACTAGCGCACTGCCCTTGTAGCCAACAGAGACACGCTCAATACAGATCGAGCTGTCACCACTACGCCAGAGGTCATTTGCTCCTTGTTGTCTAAACAGGTCCCAGGCGGATGACCAAAGTCGGAGAGACTTTGCAGAAGGGAACTCCAAACGATGCTTCATCCTCTCACTACGAGTAGCGCGTCCTGCGGAGAACGCAGCCCCAAGCAAGACTCCATGCACACAAGTCAAGATAGACGGCGAAATAGTCCCGAGCTTCGTTTTCAGCGTAGCGGTAGTGCGAGTCAAACACTGCCCCAGGAGTTCGCTGCTCTTCCGTTGTGCGTTGTTCTGAGGAATGAGGAAATCAACTCGAGGTAGTGCATAGTTGTCACAAGATCTCCCGAGCTGCGCTTCACCTGTTATCCATACTGGAAGCCCAGAGTTAACCGCATCTGAAAACAAGTCGTCGCAGTCCCTAGCAGCAAAGGCGTCTACTCTTCCTGAACCTTCAACTACTACCGGTTCCAATAGAGCTTGATGCTCTAAAGGGTCACTTCGGACGCTTCGCTCCGTGTGAAGGTCTTCGAGAGGTGTGCAACTGCAAAGGCGATCGGGGTCATGCCGGCCGTCAGCACTCGGATAGACATCAGCGCCCAAGCCCGTCGGACCGTGGGTGTTGGGCTGGTGGACTCGAGTCGTCTTTGAATTTTGATCAGAATCCTGGCTCTGTAATGGCGAGCTCGGCGGATCAAGGAGGTCCTCAAATTCGCCGGCCGGCTCCAAGCGGTGATCTTGGCAAGAACCCAAAACCAGTTCAGATCCGGCATTTCGGGATGGTCTCCCGCCCGCTCTTCTGGAATCCGGACTGTCACTCCGAATAACCGAGGCGCATCCCTCTACATGGCGACGCTCAGCACGTACTCGGGAGACAGAACCGCTACTCCGTCCAGGATGTCATAGAATAGAATCTGCTGCAGACAATTTCGGTGCTACAGGCAGGCTCTGAGCTCCAGTAGAGGGCCGAGCCTCAAATCGTGCAAGCACATCATTGAGGCTGTCCTGTCTGCGCTGTAATTCCGCCACTTGGTCCGAGAATCTCTTTGAAAGCTCGGCGCTGATTTCTCTCCGAGCATCTTCGAGAAGAATCGCCTTCCAGTACTCCAATTGTAGTTCCGGCATTTGCGTCAGATCCCTGACTCCTTGATGGTGAGCGTGGCTCTGATCTGCGTCTGAATTGGCGGCGCGATAATCTGCAGCGCGGCTCGCCGTGTTGTCGGAGGACCTAAGGCGAGGAGTTCTGGGGGCGTATCTTCGATTCCGAACGTCAAAAGTAGGCGGCTCCGCTGGTTCCAGACTCGCCGGCTGCTGGCCCGAGCGAACATCACACGCGGAGGCAGAAGATGTTGGATACACGATGCCCGAATCCAGAGGAGCACCTGGTCGCGCATCCGTTCCCTGCGAAGTTAGCACTTCAATGTCCGTAGGGTCATCACTATCACCAAACAAGCGCTGTCCGACTAAAGTATCTCCATGCCCCGTTTGATGTCGGAGGGGAGGTAAGTTTGTCGAAGTGCGCAAAAGAGGAGTAAGAGCCGGAGACTCATCATCCCGTTCGCTGATAGGAGAAAGGTTCGAAACAAGAAGTTGCGGGGCGAACGGAGGCGGAGCTGCAGAGGAAAGATCAGTCTCAGGAGCCCCACGCGGGTTCGGAGACTCGAAAGTGCCACTTTCTTGCAAACCGGAAGGGTCGTCAGAGATACCCAACCCTTCGAGATCAACCGGACTCCCATCAACTCGGACCCCCTGTAAGGTCAGGCTCGGGGTGAATGGGTTCCGTATCGGCTGACCCGATGCTGTCACCTCGCGAGTGGACATCTTTAGATCTGTCTATAGGTTCTAATATAACGCAAAGTAGATATACTAGACCCTAGAGGCAATAAAGTGAGGACGCAAGTACCCGCATAAGTGCAGGCCTGTCGTAGGCAGATAGTATTCTTAAGCAGAAACTATAAACCGGCAAATAAATCAGAAATAAACCAGATTGATCAATATGGATCAACAAAGGGCGCAAACCTATATGCTGTGCCTCGAGATATCCGCTTGTCCGCCAAGACGCCCGGATAAACTCTATTACACCAGAATGCGCAGGGTATGAGTTACACGGTCGACGGGGTGAGCTGGCTAGACTCACAACCAACGCGCGTTATGTAATACAGCGGTAAGTTTTAGGGTTTCTATAATGTAAGCACCACTATGCCAAGCGTTGCTCTAACTACATTAATACCCAAACTATGGCACTAGTTGCCAGCATCGTTCTCCACCACTTGAACCAATTAAGAGCACACAGTTAAAACATTTAAAATGGGGGCGCGTCCTAATGGCAACACTTACCTAGAAAGGCGCGCATCTCGCGTCTTTTTGAAATGTGTCCACTCTCGGCACAAATATTAGATAGTGACAAATGTAGCACAAAGGCATCTCCAAAGGTTTCTCGTCGACAAATGTCACAAATAAACGCACTTCCGGATTGTGACTGGTCCGACCAATACACAATCAACACAGATGAGAAGTCAAACGCTATACGCGGATGACTTGATTACAATCCTGAATCTTGGGAGTCTTTGTGGCAAATCGGCCGTAAATCATGTGTGCTTGACAAAGAAAACAATGCTTGTGATAGACGGCCAATCTGCCTTGATTTATGTAGTTATGTAAATATGCGGCCATCTATCTTAAGTGGCCACTCCGTCCTTCTTCTATTCACATAGCGTAGGATCCAAGTGCGTCTTTTCATTTGTGTGCTCCGTATTATCCGAAAGGTATTAAATGAGTCAAGTGTCGATCTTTGGGCCGTGTTACCTTGTCGAGCGAATAGGTGAGAGATCAAACGCGATTTCCATACGCGACCAAACGGATGCTACTTAGTGAAGCGATCTCGAGCCTCCTTTTGTTCGATAAGATAGCGGCTATTTGTATTGCTTTTTTTTCAGTAGGTACTTCTTCAATAAAGGTCTGGAGCTTTTGTTTCAGATCTCGGAGCATTTTGTTTATGTAGTGCTCTTTTTGCACCCTTTTGGAGTGGGATGATCTTTTCGCTCTCTCCTGAGCTATCTAGTCTGGCAGATAGGCACTCTACGATCTCTAGGACGATCTCTAGACGCCGAGTAGTCGCCTTATGCTGTAGATGATTCTACCGCGTGGTGAGAACGGGGCTGGTCTAGTAATGATTCTAGAGTGTGATCTTAGTGCTGTCTGTCGTAGATCTAGATACGTCTCTCGTACGTGTTTGATATAGCCTTATCACACCGTAGGATTTATTTCTTGCGTTATGTTAACAAGGCGGGGGAAATCCTACAAACTGGGACGCGACTTTGTGCGACGCGTTCGTGTTTTTTGACACTCGTCTTCGCTTTAGTGAAGAATTTTTACTCCTTGTACAAATCGAACTTACCGAACGTCTCCTCTATCTGAGATGCAAAAACAGCGAAGCTTTGAGCGCCGAATACCAAGAACACTAGAGCAAGCTCTCGAAAAATCGGATTAGCTCTTGTCGAAACCCAGATGCTGACTTAGGATTTCCAATTACCCCTACATGTTATCCGGCTCACAAAGTTTTAAAATTATCACTCTTATCGATGTGGGAAACTTGTTTAATTCTCAACTTCCATTATATGTAACAACAAGGTCAGCTATAAGCCGGAGGGAACCGCCTAATTCTTATTAAAAATCGCCATGTTCTGCAGATTCTAACAACTTAACGGGCAGAGCATCTTCATCGATCTTCATCATCACTAAAACTATCTTGGTCATTTTTAGCCATCTCAATTAACGCTCCACATTCAAGCTTATCTTCTGAGATGTACCTACGCCAAGAGGAGGCGCTCCCACTCCACCTCCCAGCTGCCAAAGTAGCAGACTTAGTACCTCCACAAAAGGCCATAGTGGCAGCGCCTCCACGCCGAAGGCTATGAGTAGCAAACTGACCTACTTCGCCGTATCTAAGTGCACAATCCTTGACCTCTTTTAGCGCTAAGCTGTACTCAATGTCTTCGAAAATTCTCTGGCCTGGCTTAAGGTCAGCGCAGAACTCTTTCCAAAAAACACAGTAAGGACATGCGTCGATAGCCCAACAAACGTCGAACATACCACTTGACTTCCTTTTCTCAACACGAGTAGCACAGGTGCAGGGTCTATAGATAAAGTCACCTTCTAGAGCGTTCTTACGTGATTTTAGTCGAGTTGCCACCTCTTTTTATTGTCATCAGCGTAAGCAGCACTATGACTGGTAAGCTTTTTCGTCCTATCGAACTGATCCAAATCCTTATATTTGCACAAGGGTACTGCCTCATCTCCTAAACGAAACAAGAACATCCAACAAACGGAGAACAGCATTCTAAAATCTGCACCAAGCGTGGTATCTGCAAGGATTTTATTAAGAAAAGCCGGGCTAACGGGGTCCCTCACCCGACGCATCGGCTGATTTCGGCGAATGCCAGCCATCACCGACCGTAACTCGGGGACCGAGGGGAAAGGGACCCGAAGCACTTCGGAAATCTTTCTCAGCGCACACTTGGAGACGTTAGCACTACCATCCATACGATGAATGCAAAGAAAAGCTTGAAGTTTGTCTGCCGACACAGGGAAAGGGCACTCGGCAATTGAGACGCAAAAATTGAGATAGGATCGAAAAGAAGATAGATAAGGTGCCCAATCTTTAACTGACTCGCCCCGAACATGCATTAAATGAGAAGACACAAGACAACGGGCTGCCGTTGGCGTCTTTGTCTTCAAAAAATCAATCTTCTGCTTGGTGGTCATGTTGTAATCCAAAATTTGAGGCTTATGCGCTTCTAAAATTCTCTTAACTCGATCAAACAAACTTTGATGGTCCATAATTTTCATTTCTTCTAGTGTTGGTAATGCTATGCTGTTTAGAACTGGCAACGAGCTATGTTCTTCTACCGCTATGCTAGAACTCTCCCAAGGTAGCACTCTTTTCATAAGTACTCTAATTCCTTTCACGTTCTGTTTGATTACTGGCACAAATTTCGACGCTGAGCTAGAAGATGACTTATTCTTATGAACTTTGACTAAATTTCCTAACCCCGGAATCGTCACTGCTGTCTTTGAGGAAGATGAAGACGAACTCGTTTGCGCCTGTGACGGGTTACCGTGCGCAAACGCTGCATGATTCATGAATTGCCACATTTTGAATTATGGAAAGGAGAAAACACAAGAAAACTTATGATGGAAAATGTTGACTCAAAAAAAATCAATGATAAGCAAAGCTACTACTTCTCACAAAAGGAAATCTCTTATCACTCTATCCTTACTTGCCACTTCCTACTAATAATTTGGTATGGAAAATTTTTATTTTATCCTAAATGTGTACAACTAGACTTAATCCTCGTCCTTCGTTTCTCACTATTGTCATAGCGACGAATCACGAATAGAACGAAGTCGGCCTTATTTAAACACATGAAATTTATACCAATACGACGACTTTAACGCTCACAACCTGTCGCGATACTCTCATGGTCGACGATCAATCTACGCCGGTGGGGCCGCAGGCGGGACTCCTGCACCCGAAGCCGGATTTGCTACATTTGCGATAGCGATCACGGGTGTGTTACTCGATGCTGTAGTTGAATTCGAATCACTTGTATTAGTTGCGTAATCAGCCTCAACATTCCAGCTTCTGAGAGCCCTACTGGCGAAGCCACGAAGTTGTAAAGCTTCTTCCTTAGTCGGAGGAAGACTATGCACAAATGAACACGATGGGTTACTACAGACCATTCCTCTCGACCCATGAGGAAGATTCAACCAATCAAAACAATATCTAGGACCATCTCCACCTTTCTTACCCTTTCCTTTCTGTCCACCCTTCACCATAGCTTGTTGCTGGTGGCCATACTGTTGACCGTACGGAGCCGCTGCGCTCATCATCGCGAAGCCACCGTATGGCTTACGTTCGGGGGAGTACAGCGACAGCATCTTGGCCTGTAGCTGGTCACTCAACTTCGTAGTCAGCAACCTATACGGAGAAAGTGAGACAAATACCAAAAGAGAAAGTAAGACACATATCGAAAATTTTTACTACGAATCAACCTCTAAACTACTCGGTGCAATTTTCATCTGAGCAACCACTTTCCAGTGGCAGATCGACGCTCGTCGGGCTTTCCGCGAACAGACCAAGAGAAAAGAAGAACTTGGCCAAGATACGACATACCTCTCAATCTGCTGCCCTAGAGCTTCTTCAAAAGCCATCCGAAAGAAATTCTCGATCCTGTTGGCATACGTCATACCCATCAAAACTTGAGTCCCTGCAATGCGAGCTAACTTCGTCTTATAAACTTCCTCCACTGACAGCCGCAGGATCTCCAAATCCTTGTGACGCGTCATCAAGACGAAGAAAACCTGTCAGAAAGACAAAGACAAAGTGCGTCACTCCAGAGCTACTCGAAACAAATAAACTGCCCTGTTTAAGCTATAACAGACTTGCCAAATCAATTTGGAGAAAAAGGTCTTCATTACTTGTTCTACCACCAATTTAATTTTATCTTTACCGTGAAACTCAGAAAATTTCTGAAATTTACAACAAGAGCAGACCTGAAGCGTGTCGAAGCCAACTCGTTGCGCGGTGTTGATATGCACCTGCGGTAAATTTGCAGGCACAGCCTGGACGGCAGCCTGCACGACCACACCTGCTTCATCCACAACTTGCGGCACTGCCGCTACAGCTGGCACAAATCCACCCAGTAAAACCATTACTGTCGCATCGCGAATGACTGTGTCGACAGTTTTGACTGCATCTCTCGGGAAAGACCTTTCGTGAAGGCGCCCGTTGTTCCTAGCTCGTTCAATTGTCTGCACTTCAGCTTCTGAAGTAGAAGCAACCAACGTACCGAAATTCACTTGCTGAAAGAAATTTTTTTGGAAAACCAAAGATATTGAATCCAGAACCAAAGAAGAGGGATACTTGAAAAAGAGCAAACTTCTTTTGGCTATTCTTCCACTCTCGACCGCACAGTTCCACAGAAACACTAAATTCTGCTAAATAAACAAACTGTATTAATCGCTACAAGATAGATACCAGCACATTCTTGACGAAGGCAACTCGCACGGGATCGGGGCGATCGATGTTGGCCTGTTGGACCAAAAAGTTAAAGGCATTGCCCACCTGCTGACTCGCGTCCATCTTCAAAATTCTTCTTCTCGAAACAAAACTAAGTCTTGTCTTGAAAGACTCTTTAAAGCAACCGAAACTATAACAACCACTCTCAACTTACTCTTCTAGCTTTTAGACGGGAAGGGGAAGCAAGTTACTCGTCGGCCTTACTGCTAGAATCATCAAGAAGTATGCCACTCATCTCCACATTAAGTAACAGCAATTTTCTCACTTCGCCACTTACTTGTTCATTAAGGGGCACTTCTTCTGTACAAAAATTCTTCTTAAAGAATTCGAAAAGTTTCTCCTTCGTGGGGAGATCTGCTATATTATCTGCACTAGGAACCCTCTCTATTCTTGCGCTAATCCTCAACTCCATACAACCCTTCCAAAAAAGAAAAGCAGTACGCGCTAGGTGTATCTTACCACTATTCATACGATTATAAGCGTGCCTTTAGCACAGTTATTATCGATATAATAAATTACTTTTGACGACGTAAGCCGGTCACCCCACAAAAGGTTACACACAAAAGGCGCAACAGATTCCAAAAAATTAATTGGATGGTCGGAGTATTTCTCAACGATCATCTTCTTTGACACAAACATCCTCCAAAGCCGGAACTTCCTCCCAAATGGAATGCTTGGGTCGTATTTTTCGAACAAATCGACTAAAACTCCAGCCATATAACCAGACCTAGACCTTTGCCATGATGCATCGGTATAAATGATGTACCGCACGGGTGCGGAGTACAGCACCCGCGGCGGCAATCTAACAACTAAGTCTTTACACACACCAAGGCAAGCTCTAATCGCTTTTGTCATCTTTGATCCACCAAACTCCTGGAACATACGTGAAACCAAAGGCCTGAGAATAGGACGCAACATCCTGTCAGAGCAAGCGCAAAGCGCAAAACTCAACATGCCATAGGCACGCGAGGCTTCCGAAGGAGAAAGCTCATCCTTCACGAGCAAAGACGAGATGCACTTGGAATAAACTTCAGCGCGTTCAGGCGATATTACTACACTTGGCCTACCTACAAGACGAAAGAGCAGACCTAACAACAAAACTTCTTCTGATGAAGAGACTAATTTCTCTTCCTTGTAACCCCAACCTGTCAAATCTAGGAGTTTCTTGATTACTCTCAAACATTCATCTCCTAAACCTAAACGGCAAAAATAATGATAATCATCTATAAAAACCGAAGTTGGTACTTTAAATAGTCCACGGATAGACGCTCTGAGTAGCAGGCTAACTCTTACCCATGCTACTACTGAATGCACGTTACCAAAAATCATTGAAAAGGCCCTAAAGGCCACAAGCCTAGGCTCTCCTATTACCGGCTTCGGGCACCAAACTAGAATAAAATTTGCCCATTCGTGTCCATCCTTAATAGGAATGGATTTATAAGCAGCTTCAATATCTACAACTCCTCCATCAGTGCGGAAGTCCGAACCTTCCACCGCTAACTGCGTGTCGGGATCAATGAAGTTTTCAACTAGGCTACTCGAAAAAAAAGAATCTTTACAAAAGGAGCTAGCTCCACACGCTTTCCGCTTCCTTGGGAAAGATACAAAGTCGGCGATTACGCTACGACCAAGCTTAATTTTACTCGACCAAACTCTTGCCGTTGCCGTGGCCGAGGCTAAGGCCTCAAGAGGCGACGGCAGTGGGACTTTCTTATAGAGATTCGACGACCCGTTAAAGGTGCGGGCATCGTCGATCATCCTATGTTTAGACTTCTGCCAGATGGCAAATCTCGGCGCTAGACTTAAAGCTCTACTATCCAAATCTTGAATTTCGATGGGCTCTGAAAGAGGACCCATCTTCACCTCTTTTACACTAGTGTCCCATATCAGGCCCAATAAACCATCTTCGAACTTCGGTTTCTTGTACAAATTTTTTTCACAATACGCACGACTACGCCTTCTTCTTACATCTTCTAACTTATCATCAGCTTCTTTAGGCTTTCTGCTCTCCCAACTACTAGGACAAAAGACTTGACCGAACGTCGTGCCTCCTAGCAATGGGAGGGTCCACGCCGTCGGTTCAGACGGGTGAAAAAGTTCACTCAGTTTCCTAAGTAAGGAAATACTCTTCCACCCTACTGGTGGCGGTGCGCTTTCTCTATCAAATGCTCTGTAATCATCGCTAGACTTCGCTGGGCACCAACTATCAGCGGCTAACTCATCTAATAGCTTTTCTCCATCAGTAATTGACTCACACGAAGGCAATTGTTGCATTATCAAATCTAAACTCTCTTCTTCAATGAGCTTATCTGCAGGGAGTGACGTCGTTGCGAACGCAGCATCTTTCTCGATGCACCTTAGGTAAGTACTAGGATCAGGACTAGAAATGTCCGCGCTATCCTTTTCAATGCCCATTTTTGACTAAAAATAAACACAAATACTAAACAGGAATAAAAGAAAAGCTCCCCGTTTACTGACTAGAAATGTCTAAGCTTCCCACTCGAATAGGTACTCCATTACACATTCACACCATCATGAATCTTTTCAAAAAGAAGACCTCGCAAAGGAGGGCTTACCTTCTTGGAACCAAAATAAAATACAAGGAAGCGACACTCAAACAATCAAACTGGGAGAAAAAACTCTAAGGAAGGGCCACTAAGGGGTAAAAGATAAACAGCCTTCTGCAGATCTATTCCTTTTTTAGTACGTAACAAGAAACTTTATACTCAATTACCTTTTTACTTACACCCTCAGCCTTTAATTGCCCGCTTTGACTTCTCCAAACTTTTTCCACTTCTTACTCACTCGTCTTACGACTCTTCACTCGTTGCAACAAATAAGTTGCTGCTCTCACTGACTGCAGAACTTCCGCAAACAAAACCGCTCGTACCCATTTTTTTTAAAAAAGACAAGAAAGATCCCAATGACTTTCAGTCGCGAACACTACGTACAAACAGAAACGCGCCACAGGAGGACGGCTGCCATCAATTAGAACCTGAATTCTTCATAAAACAAATTGTTAGGCGTGCCTCTGCATAGTAGAACCAAAAGGAGCAAGAGTTTCGTAAGTACTCATAACCATCCTTACTGATTTAACAACTGGGAACCATCACTAATCCCGGAGGATGATTGATGCCGAAGCATCAACCAAGTTACCTCGCAGAGACACGCGATGATAGCCGTCCTCAAAAAGAGCAGCCAGGAAGTACTGGCACACGGAAGAGGGAGGGTGGGACTTTAAAGAAGAAGAGCTCTTGCTCATTCTGGAAAACTTTACACCAGAAACATCAACAAATGTTACTTTTGCTTTTCCTTACTCTACTACAACAACTTGGTAGCTTTTTACGGGGTCTTTGCACTACCGGCCCCATTAAGTATTCAACTAAAAAGCAGGCATAGCCTGAGCACGAGTTTGTTCACTACACTACAGAAATAAACGCCGATAAAAGTCTGGCTTTGATCGGCCATTTATTTCTTGCGTTATGTTAACAAGGCGGGGGAAATCCTACAAACTGGGATACGACTTTGTGCGACGCGTTCTTGTTTTTTGACACTCGTCTTCGCTTTAGTGAAGAATTTTTACTCCTTGCACAAATCGAACTTACCGAACGTCTCCTCTATCTGAGATGCAAAAACAGCGAAGCTTTGAGCGCCGAATATCGGCACAACGCGCAGCACCGGCTACAACGGACGCCCGGGAACAGAGCGCCACAAAGCGAGCGTAAGCGTCGCCGTCAGCATAGAAGGTATTACTCGAGGGAGAAAGCCAACAAATAAACAAGGAAAGAAACACAGCTGAAAGCTGCAAGAACAAAAGGAACATCACGAGGAAGAGCTTCTACACTGAAACGGCGACTGGGCAACGAAAGAAACCCTGAACAGAAGAGTACTCATTCTGGAAAACTTTACACCAGAAACGTCAACAAATGTTACTTTTACTTTTCCTTACTCTACGTCTACTACTACAACTTGGTAGCTTTTTACGGGGTCTTTGCACTACCGGCCCCATTAAATATTCAACTAAAAAGCAGGCATAGCCTGAGCACGAGTTTGTTCACTACACTACAGAAATAAACGCCGATAAAAGGCTGGCTTTGATCGGCCATTAATTAGATCTCGGGATATGTGATGGGATCATACTTATTTCGAGTAAAGTGAAAGGATTTTGGTTATTTATGATTGTCAGTATGTTGGCAAACCCCCCCTGTAATTCGCGAATTAGTCGTCTCTGTAAGGATAGATTAGATTAGTTGGGAACTACCTATATTCGCCTGTAGTTCGACCGGAGAGTCTGGGCCTTGGGGAAAGATTCCAAACGATAGTCTGCTAAAGACTATGTTCGGAGAACTACCAGGGAATATATAGTCTCAAGAGTTAGCACCGTGCAGCGATCTGCTTCTGTCATTGATCTCCAGGCATCAACGCTGCTATTCATGAGGAGCATTGGGGGCATATATGAGAGGCGCGCGGACGCTCTTTTAGAGGAGTTTGAAGATGTGGAAGCGGTTGGCCTGGATCTGACGCCTGACGTAGTTGCGGCTGTGATTGATGGCAAATATAGTGGGCAGAATGAAGGAACTGCTTACTACCAGCTGGCATTTTTTCTAGAGAGTTTCGCGTGCTTCTTGATATTGCAGCAGCTCAGTGCAATACCTTAGCAGTGTCTTAATGGTGGTCGCATTCTCCCGCATCTTCTTCGACCTTCCCCCAATGGTATGCCTCTACATTTCTCACAGAAGAACCTTCTGTCGATGGTGATGAGTGGCGTTTTTCTGATTCTGGTGCGCAAATTTCTCGGCACTATATCAATGCCATGGCAAGCGGCGAGAATGAATGGAGTTGCGTGGTTTCGGCACATAAATATCCAGGCAGACGCGAGCACGAAAGGCCAAGAAAAGAAGACCGCCTACCAGGTATAGAGATCGCTACCTTTGTTGTTGAGAGCGGCCCCGCTTTGTGCAGGAGTCGAGGATGTGTGAACTGTATTGGACTGCGAGGGTAGCCTTCTTCACCATACACAACTGGAGAGAAAGCTGGCGCAGCTTTTCAAGATAGTCAGCCAATCACTTTGCTAGCCTGTCACCTGACAAAAGAACCCCACTCGCATTGTCATCGCATTGGTTGGAACTTCCCTCGCAACAGATCTACGTCGCTTGCTTCGAAGAGGCGACTAAAGCGCTACGCACTTTTATGCTGCCGCTCCCACTCCAGCGCCCAAAAGCTAAGCCGAATGACAACAGCAAGAAGAAGGGCAAGACGCCCTACGCAAGTGTCTCAGGAGTGGTCGAGAACTTGCTTCATGTGTTGCAGTACGTTGGTGGCAGCGCGGTCTTCGATGCGCTCACGGCTGAAGCGAAGACATCTGGTAGCAAGCCTGTCACTTTGGTCATTGACCAAGACCAGGAGGAGAATGGTCAGCGCGCGGCCCATAGTGTGGCCCGGGAGATGTTTGCAATACCTCGAATAGGTTTGCGTCATCGCCTCGGAAACTGTTGCAATAAAAGCAGCAAGATCCTCGAGGTCCAGGCTTCAATAAGGGCGCTAACTGGCGGCAAACTTGCACGGGAGTCAGGTCGAGGGGCTTTCGAAAAGTCTCGCAAGGAGTGCGCGGCGGAGGCTGAGCTCCTCGGCTTGCGGGATGTGGAAGTAGAACGCGAAACGGGTCTGGATCTCGCAAACGCCTTGGCTGAAGGTGCTACTTTGTCTGCTTTCTTTGTCTCCTCTGTTGTTCTTCTTGACTTCATCGGCAAACGCGCCGCCCCCGGCTTCTTTCAGGCGGTTGCTCAGGCGAGCGCCCTTAGCTGGGTCCACCCCAGCTCGGGGGCGTGACCTGCTCGGAAGCTTGCCGCGTCGGGTCGGGTCGTGCTGCGTGGAAGAGCCTGAGGACCTCAGCCGACCCCTCCAAGCGACCCCTCAAACACTCAAGCAAAAACGCGAGAGCGCGTCGCTAACATCTGGCAGCATTTTGCAACACGTCCACCCTCTAGATTCTTGGTTTTTGCTTGCTGTTTTTGAGGGGTCTGCGAAGACTCTCGGGCGCCAGAAGTCTTATCAGTAGAATCCAGTGCGCCAGAAGTATTATCTTTGGCCAGTTCTCAAATCAAGGACACCCTCCAGCACACCCCTCGACCACACCCTTCAACCTTCCTCAGGGATCGCCCTCCACCTCCTTGCGCCTTCTGAGGTTCCAGGCTAATACCAGTCACCATGTAAGACCTCTCTGTCTCTGCTCTGCATTTCTCTCATTTAGAGGACCTCGCCAACATTTCTCATCGCAGGTAACCCGCTGATCAGCATGGTGCGCACGCGTTGGTTTGGTCTTCGCTATGTAGCTCTATGGATGAAACGTTATCGGGCAACAACCATCATCATCTTAGAGCACATGGTCACAAACAAAGTGAAGCCACAGGTGCACCCGGATGAGGAGGACCTTCCGAAGAAGGAGCCAGGAGAATCCAGAAAACACCAAAGAGACACATCGTGCAAAGATGTGGACGACCTCTATCCCTGCTACGCCGATCAAGAAATAGATGATGGAGACCTCCCCTCTCAGCGGCAGAAGATGGGTGGGGGCCTTTTAGATGGCCAGTTGGATCTAGTAGAGGAGGGGGGTGGCAGTGGTGACAAAAGTGAAGACCTGGACTCCAGCGACGAGGAAGATGAGGAGAAGCGCAGCAACAACCTCCAGGCAAAGACGAGGCGTGTCTTGCGCGCTTTACGTGCGGTGCCTGAGGATGAGCTTACGCACTTTCTGCACCTTACGCGTGTTCCGTTCGCTTTTCATAAGCTTCATCTTCAAGTGACGTCTGGTCTGCAGTCCCAAGAGACCGAATGGGACGACAAGACGCACACCGCGCGGGAGCTCTTCAAGAACTTAGTGCTGGACAAAGGCCCGCAGCGCTTTCTGATGAGTTGCGCTGAAGAGATGCCTGCTCTTCTATTGCAGTTCATTCGCCATGCTGTGCGTGGTATTTGGGACATGAAGTACTTCGCGCGTTGTGCAGTTGTGGCCACCCTTCTCTTGCGTTTCTACCTGTATGAGACATATGATCCGGCGTATGGATTGTGGATCTCCATCTTCGTCCGCAGAATAGTAGCTTTCGCTGATGTGCGTGGCGATGCTTTTTTTGCAGCCCGTACCCGCACACGCTTTGCGCACTACATGCATTCTCTGGCGACCTTAGGAACGGCTGCGAGCATGCTGAGAGGCAAGCAGCAGCTGGAGCGGTCTTGCATCAGTGGCGCTACGTCTGACAGTGAGGGCGAGAGCTTCTGGCGTTACGTTGCTGCAGCAGTCGGCAAGCAGCTGAAACTGGAGGGGAAGTGGCTTTTGTCTTTTCAGCGTCTAACTTGGCTCCGCAAGCTGAAGATCTTCGAGGAAATTCCACCAATGCAGGGTGACGGCGCCTTGTCCGAAAAGATAGTCGACCTCAATCGGGAGGACATAGAGCAAGAGCTTCATAGCGCGACAACGTGGAGCCGGTTTGCCAGCAAGTTGAAGAAACTACATAAGCAAACATCTTCAACATGGATGGACATCTTCAAACGCCTAGAAGACCTCCCATCTTTCTACGAGCTCTGCAGCAAAGCCGTCAACATCTTCGAGAAGATCAAACTACACATCTCTGACAGTTCTATCATGTGCCACGCTGTGAACTACTTCGTCCCGGGTCTTGAGTTCGCAGTTTACGAGAGCGCGCAACCAGAGGACCGTGCGCAGTTTCCGCTTCTTCGTGATCTTGGGCGGGTGGTAGATAATCACTGGCGTTTCCGGTCATGGGTGCAAAAAGGAGAGCCTCTGATTTTGAGCGATGCTGCACTGATGGTCTCCGTCCTCGTCTTCGTCATCTCTGAGGGTCTCTACTGCGGCTTATCGCTGAAGCTGAGCGAAGACGGAAAGGCCCTGCAACTGCTTGCAAGTGAGACAGCTGTAGTCTGCGGCTTTACTGTGCACTGTGCTATGATGAAAACCTATCAGGTGAGCTATCCTGGTGGAGTCTGGACGGTCAGCATGGCGGTCGATTGGATCAGCTTCACAGCAACACTCTACGACGCGGTTGACGCTATCCCAGAGCAGCAACTTCTACAGGTCGTGGAGTATGTAGCAGGCAGCCACGTCTCCATCAATCTCGACACGATGCCGCCGGCAGCTCTGCTGCGTAAGGCCTTGCGTGACCTCCTAGAGAGTGACGACGACGTGGAGCCGCACTTGCTGCTTCAGCAGATACTCTATGGGCAGCAGGATGATGAGATCGAGTTCGTTGCTCCTGCTCCTAAGAAGCGGAGAGGTGACTACGATCATTCTAGTCGTGACAACAATGGTGGAGGCGTGCCAGGTGGTGGTGGGGATGGTCGCCAGGATCGTTCGTTTCTGGGCCGCGTTCGGAATCGTGTAGAGTGGCACTTTCACTGCTTCTGCTGCAAGCAGGCAGTCGCAAAAGCCATGAAAACAGAGCGACGTGGTGGAGGACTCGGCCGCGCATTGTACACCAAGCATCTAGTGCCTGTTGAGCTATCATCAGGAGACATACGCTCATCTACGCGCGGCTGGCCGGCTGCTGTTTCAGCTGAACAAGTCATCCATGAGGCGAAGTGGATGGAAATGGTCCAGAGGGTGCGCCAGCGCTCCTCTTGCGGCAGCAGAGCGATCATCGAGCTACGAGAGCACGACCGCGGTCAGCCACTCGACCCGATGCACGAGTGACCTTCGCAGGGTGCTCTGAGGCTGCTGACGCAGGTGGGTAGAGTGTCAGCATCCACATGTAGATAATCTTACCCGGGTCCAGTTCGTCGAAGATTCCTCTAGTTTTGATGTCGATCCATGATCTCACGGAAAACACAGCCTCGCTCTGCTATCGTCGCTTCTCGACTCTTCTTCTTCCCGGGTGCGTAGCCCTGGGTAGCTTCTAGTAGATACGCAGAACAGCAATAAGTTGTTGCACGGGATAAGTCTACGATTGTAATCAAGGTGAAAACTAACCGGTTGCTTTACTTAGTGCTTTGAGCGCCGCAGGGCCTAAACCTTCACCAAAGGGAGAAAGCCAATCAAGATTTGCAGCACACCTTGAAAAGAGAACAAAGGGGAATAAGTCCTGCTATGGGATGAGGTTAGTTACATAAGAAATATAAGATTCAGACTGATAAGAAAGTTCAAAAAGTGTCTATACTAGGATAGTCACTTTATCAAATGACTGTCATCATTCTCTTATTGTTGCACTCCCAGAAGCATCATAGACAGATAAAATTCTCTCCAACCATTCTCGAGCCTCAACACATGAACGCGCAGGAAAAGAGAGAAACACAGAACCACGAAATTACAGACGAGGAGAACCTGTAGGCGACAGCCTTATTCTTAGTGTGGAACACTGGCAGACAAAGACAGAAGCAAGAAAGAAAGCACGGGACTCCACGTTTACGCAGCGCTCGCTAGATAACCCAGATTTGCTTCGCAGTCGTTTTCTTTCTGCTAGTGGTGTTTGTAGTGGTGTTTTGTAAATGTTGTCAAAGTGTATGTTAATTATTAGTAGTAAGGTATTACTTATATGCTGTTATGTGCCAAGTGTTAAGTGGATATTAGTATGCGTAGTGTGTATTGATCTTCTTATAAGGCATGTTTATATATTATGACTATTGTAGATATTAGGCATTTGCAGTAGATATTGTTAACTAAGTTGGTAAATGTTTCATGAGCAGGTAGATGGATTGGCATTGCTATAAGTATATATGCGACTTATGTTATGTCATGTTGCGTGGTGTTGTCAATTAGTATGCTTAACTTTTCCATGGCTTTCAGCATTGCAGCTTATAAGTTGCCATACACTATGGTCTTCAAGTGGGAGGAGGGAGGCGTATTAGGATTCACCTTTTGAATCCTGAAAACAGGAAGAAGTATGAATTGTTAAGCATGAAAATGCGAATACATGGAGGCTACTCAAGGGGTATTTGTGTGCCTGCTACAGGATCACTTAACCTATTTTGTGCGTCATGTTCTCGGTTATCGACATGCGTCGATATTCATAGTCATCAAGTTCGTCGGGCGCCATTATGTGCAAAAGTCGCTCCATGTTTCCACAGGTACTTTCTAGTTTCGTGGCCATAGTGTGCAATTACTACTAATAACTACTAAACTTCTTCAAACTATTAGACCAGATTACTCGCCCTCCTTTTGATGCATTCCAGGCGCTATCCGTTGACTTCTCTAGGGCGCTGCAGGATTGTACGGCCCAGCAACGACAAAGTCTCGGACTTCATAGGTCTCGCCATATGTTGTGCCCGGATTAGTATGCTCCATGCTTTTTTGGCTGATATAGTACGGCTGGATCTTCATGATGGTACTATGCCATGGTGTGTAAACGAGTTGCTTCATCTTGGTACTTGTTGTATGATGAGAACCTTGTTGAAGAAGTTGGCTGCACCAGGAGCATTCTTCATTACTGCCAAGTGGACGCGAGATGTTCAAAGATGTGTCAAAAGTCTCTACGTCTGAAATGTCCAGGGACCAACACATGGCTGCAGTTTCCGCGCGGGTATCGACAGGATTACATGACTCGTATCGTGGCGGCTTATTGAAACTAGTACGAAAGTATACTGCTGCACCACACTGGCATACGAATTTCATGTGTGGCCGCTGAATCATAGTAAGAGCGTGCCCGTCATTTTTTGCACGATATTGTGATACTCTACCAGGTACGCAAGTGTGCTCGTACTTGCGGACTATTTCGCTTTTCCTCTTAACTTGGATTTTAGCATATGACTCGATGCTAGCAGTTATAAGAGGGGTGTCTAGACTATGACCCCTAATACCCAAGTTTTGTCGTTTTGTATGACCCGCCTGCTGTTCTATTGAAAGACTAAGCGTAAAGCTAGAGCCTTCAACCTGGCCTCCTGGGGAAGCTCGGTATGGGAGGCGTGAAGAGAAGACTTCAAAACCTAAGAAAGTCTGCCTAAAGATACGTGCGCGAGTATTCTTATCTAGCAGGTGTGGGACTAATCTAAAAAAGGACAGTAGTAGATCTTTGCTCGCTAGTGTGATTATGCGAATCCAAAGGAGCTGGGCCAAGTAGTTTAGTTCTATTTCTTCTGAGTCTTGCGTGACACATTGCTGCACCGCAGCAAGGATGTGCAAGACGTCAAATGAAGCAAAGACTTTAGTGTCTAAGCTTGAAACGCATTCCCAAGAAGGGTGCAGGTAAGATAATACTATTGACCAACAGTCACAAGGGAGACTATGGCGTGAGGAGGTATGTGCGTCCCGTGTAGGGAGTTCTCCATTTCTATAGATGTGGTGGCTATGTTTTGTTTTTGATCTACCACTCCACTGCCCAAGGCGAAAATCTTGCGGCACAAGAACTTTATAAGCTACTTGATGGGAGCGCTCAACGAGTTGCTTACTTATGTATGTGTATTCCTTATTAGCGTCAAAGTCACTAACACGTGCAACAGCTGAGTACGTGAGTAGTATAGGCGCTTCTAGTTGAACAACAGGCCTCATGTCCTGTTGATCATCGGCTAGATGCGCCACAAGGAGCTACTTGCGTTATGCAGCAGAAAAGCGCTTTTACTTTAACCCCTAAAAAGCCCCCTACTTTCTATCTGGTGTTTTTTGGTTTTTGGTACATTACTGCACTTACAGTGTCCAGAGGTGCACCAGAATTTAAAAAGTGTGAAGGTGAATCATATTACTTATAAGTGTCAACTCATGAGGCAGGAGATTCCTGTGTGTGTACTTAAAGCAAACAAGAAGCGTTAAACTCATTGAGCGGGGAAGGCTAATATTATTCGAGCTACTTTCGGTGAACAACTGGGGAAAAGGTCATCTTTGCTGTGTATGAAGCGCGACGAAAGCAGTATCTATCGACCGATTTATAAGACGCGGAGAGAATCGCTCTGCTTGTCGATGAAGCACCCACCAATGTCAACTTGCCAAAGCAGCCACTTTCTTACTTTCTTTAGCCGTGTCTTGACTTTTTTGTTTATTTTGTTTTTCTTTTTTGTGGCATATTTTATTCTTTTTAGGCACGGGGCTAAGGCAGAGACCGAAATGGTAGAAGGTGCTTACTTCGGCACTAAGACGATGTTACTCACGTTAATACTTTTAAGGATACTCAGAAAGTTGGCGAGCTTTTGTCTAAAACCTTCTCTATATCCCCATTTAGGATCCCAGTGTCTTTCAGCTATAACATCAAAGCCCCTCGCCATAACATGGATAGGTAAGGCTTTTTGGGTCCGAAGGTATAACTCACACACATCATACAAGTAAAACAAGAAAAAGGAATTATTTTTGTACAAGCGTATGGCAGAACCACAAAAACTAGAAAAATGCGTACTACTATGCACACACGAACGAGGGTCAATATATTTCTCAGCTTCAAACGTGAATAGTCCATCTTTAGAGTAATTCTTGAAGTACATGCAGCCATGGGCACAAAATATTTCCAAGTCTAGGAAGATGGCGTAGTGTCCTGCAGACTCAGGCTTAATGGTGAGGCCTGTTTGATCATATATAAGTTCAAACGGTAGGTCTGAAGGGCTAAGGACGTCATCAACAAATCGCGCAGTGCCCAGATATCTCCCGCGGTTTATAGCGGTTAGGCTATTGAGGAATTCTTCTTCAAGAGGGCACAGGACTGTGTCAACGATGGCGTTAGACGCAGGCCCACCCATTGGGATCCCAACGCTTTGTCTGAGAACTCGCCCAAAAACCAGAACAAAGTTGTTCTCAATGCATAGCCGAACCAACTGCATTACTTCGTCAACGTTGAAGAACAGCATACCAGCAGGCTTCTTCTTGGGAACCAGACGGTACTGGTATGCAAATTTGCACGAGGAGTGCACCCCAATTGCTGCAATGTTCTGCTTTTGATAGAAACGGCGGACTTGACGGTCAACGATATTGATCATGGTGTCATGCTTGAACTTGGTGAACATGTCGCTGAAGTCACCTTTGTGCATCACGTGAAACCGGGACTGCTTGAATTTATCAATTGCCGCACGAGAGTCCTTGACCGAGAAACCCGAGGGAAGTCCAGAGCATACGTTATCCAATAGGCATCGTAGGTACTGCCGTGGGAGAGAGAGCATAGTCGTATCGGTGACGGAACAAACAGGGCGAAACTTGTGCTCGGGGTCCTTGTGCAATTTTGGCGGAGTGTGGATGGTGGGCAAGTTCTTTTCCAGGCACAAACACCTCATACAAGCAGGCAGCTTATCCTTCACGTGTTTTAGGACATCCGCCGGAGACATATGCACGCGCTCATAACCACGCTCAGTAGGCGACGGCAGGAGTCGGAATGTGTTGTCTAGTTCGATATCCCTCACCAGGGGGGCGTTAAAGATGTGGAGACCAGCACTAGTATGATCCTTATCCTTGTCGTAGTGCGCTATCGGTGGAATCAGGATAGGTGCGATAAAGAGGGTCATCTTGCTTCGAGGTGCTGCGATAGGATGATCTGCATCACTTTGCGAGATTTGTGATGGGCGGCATATGTTTGCGAGGCCATGACGCAGAGCAGACAAGTTTGCAGCATCTTCAGACGCTGCCTGTTCACGTGAAAATGTGTAGCGGAGTGGCTTCGCGTGAGGGCGGAAGTGCGTGTAGTTCGGGACGTTCTTAGTACTAATAACCCAAAGTAGTACTGACGTAACGAACTCGCTGCGATTGCAAAGTAGGCACGCATGGTCATGGAAGGCAGCAACTCGAGAAAGGACAGGATTTTTTAGGAATTCGGACTGTTGAACAATCTTATCCGGGAGCATGGTCTTCTGCCACGGGAAAGCTATCGTCTCAGGCCGGGGCGTCGTGATGTATCGCCGTGCGAGATTATAGTTTTGATTTATGATGTGGCCACAACGCATGCCGTAACCAGAACGGTACCGATCAAATGGCATCTGGGGGCCTTGTACTGGGCACGGTGGAGCCGGAGGGTCAACATGTGGTAAGACGAAGTCCTGCATATCCAACAGCTCAGCTTCGGTCTGTGAAGAGTCGACATCAGCCAGAGTCTGACTGACACAAGGGTCATCGTCATATTGCTGCGAAAGTCTGGAAGCCAGTGCATCTAAAGTTTCAGCTTTGTCGAAATTCGGCACCAGAGTACTTGGCTGCGGGAGGCTTTTAATATGTGCACTGTGTTCATGTAGGTCAAAAAAGTCCACTAAACCAGCAGCATCAGCAATAAGTAGATCGTAAAACGGATTACATACGAACCACTTGTTACGGATTTTGTCCAATGGTGTAAAAGCGAGGAACTTCGAGATGCGGCCAAAGAGTTCGAAGAAATCATCGTAATCATCTCCTTCTTGTCCCTCCCAAGAAAAGTCAGCATCCTCACGAAGCGAATCCAAGTGCGTACCAATAGCAGTTCGGATAAGGTTCACTAGTGGCGGGCTGTATTTTGGATTACCCTTGACACGGCATAATAGGGCCTCCATGGAGAACTTTGCAGATGTGCGGAAGTTGTGCTGCAGTAGGTGCTTGCTCTTGGTAAAAGTTTTGGCGTCAGCTTCTGGAAGAATGTCCTCAATAGTATCCACAGGAATGCATAAGTGTCCAAGCCGAAAACAAGACTGCGGTAAAACTGTGGACAAAGATCGACAAGGGCACCCAACATTATGCACGTTGTTCAGGACGTCGGCGCCAAGCTTGCCACGCTTGTATGTGTTGAAGCGCAGGAGAGGCTGGCTGTAAGACCATGCGATCATGAACTTATCCAGCAAGTTGAAGGAACGGAAGATGTTCGTAAAACTAATCCGCTTCATGAGGTTGTTGTGGTAGCAGAGGATA